CTGCTGACCTCTCATCCGGACAGCTACCAGGTTTCTGTCGACGCCCCCTTGGGCTCGTCGGACCACTGCCTGATCCGGACCTCAGTGCCTATCTCGGGTTGCCCACGGTTTAAACCGAATGGCTTTAGCCGAGTGTGGCACTACAGGTCGGCAGACTGGGATGAGATGCGGTCCTTTTTTGCATCCTACCCATGGGAGCGAGTTTGCTTCAGTCTGGATGATCCCGACGCTGTTGCCGACTCTGTCGCCGATGTGGTGCTTCAGGAGATGGATCTTTTTATTCCGTCTTCTGTTGTGCCTATCGGGGGTAGTTCTCGGCCCTGGTTTGGTAAGTCCTGCAAATTAGCCGCGCGCTACAAGCAGGATTGTTATCGAGCCTGGGCTGAGGCGTCAGCAGTTAGGGATGTAAATACCAGCCAGCTTAAAAAGAAGTATAACTCTGCCTCCAGGTACTTCAAAAGAGTGATTGCCAAGGCAAAGTCAGAACACGTGGCCAGCATTGGTGAGAGGCTAGTGCACCTTCCTTCGGGAACTCGCGCGTTCTGGTCTCTTGCCAAGGCTGTCCAGGGGAACTTCTGTAAGCCGTCCCTACCATCTTTGCGCAGGGGGGAGACTCGTTGGCCCACACCGCAAAAGAGAAAGCCGATCTCCTGGGCTCTCTTTTTGCGGCCAACTCGACTCTGGGTGACAAAGGTAACTCGCCGCCGAAAATCCAACGCGGCGAGACCACCATGTCCCAAATCCAGTTTATCCAGAGATCAGTGCGAAAAGCGCTGCAATCTCTGGATATTCATAAGTCGAGTGGGCCTGACGGGATACCCCCCCTCGTGCTTAGGACTTGTGCTCCTGAGTTGGCACCGGTTTTAACGCGCCTGTTTCGGTTCTCCTACTCCCTAGGCATTGTCCCGAAGTCATGGAAGACTGCCATTATCCACCCGATCCCAAAAAAAGGCGATGGCTCAGACCCGTCCAACTACAGGCCGATTGCCATTACCACCTTGTTCTCGAAAGTCATGGAAACGACCATCAATTGCCAGCTCATGAGGTACCTTGAGGATCACCAGCTGATTAGCGATCGTCAGTACGGCTTCCGACAGCGTCGCTCAGCTGGTGATCTTCTTGCGTACCTCACGCATCGATGGTCGGAGGCAATCGAGGGCAAGGGGGAGGACCTGGCGGTTAGTTTGGACGTGGCCAAGGCCTTTGATCGGGTGTGGCACAAAGCACTTCTTTCGAAGCTGCCTTCATACGGGCTGCCCGAGAAACTACGCGCCTGGATTGCCAGCTTTTTGGAGGGTCGGAGCATCAAGGTCGTTGTCGACGGTGCATGCTCGGACCCCAAACCAATTAATGCTGGCGTCCCACAGGGCTGTGTACTGTCGCCGACCCTGTTTCTTCTGCATGTCAATGATATGCTGCAAATTAGCAACATCCATTGTTATGCAGACGATAGCACGGGTGATGCACTGTACACGGCCCGCGCTAACGTTTCTCGGGCCTCTGCCGATGAGAACCGGACCAAACTTGTGTCTGAACTGGAGACCCTACTGGGTGAAGTTTCGGATTGGGGTCGGCAAAATCTTGTTGACTTCAATCCCAAAAAGACACAAGTATGCGCCATTACCGCTAAAAAACAGCCCTTTGTCGTGGATCTTCGTTTCGAGGGCACTCCCCTGGCTGCCTCAGCCAGTATCAGTATTCTCGGCGTTGACATTTCGAATGACGTTCAGTTTCGCGGTCATTTGGAAGACAAGGCCAAGCTGGCCTCCAAAAAACTGGGTGTGCTCAGCAGAGCGAAGCAGTATTTCCAACCGGGCCACCGCCTTCAGCTCTATAAGGCGCAAGTTCGGCCCCACATGGAATACTGCTCGCATCTCTGGGCGGGAGCACCCCAGTACCAGCTTCTTCCATTTGACCGCATACAACGGAGAGCGATTCGAATCGTCAACGACCGAGCACTTACAGATCGGCTCGACACTCTGGCACTGCGGAGGGACGTTAGTTCCCTCTGCATTTTCTACCGCATATACCACGGGGAGTGCTCTGAAGAATTGTTTGGAACGATTCCTGCCACCGAGTTCCGTCATCGGACGACACGACAGACCGCCAGGTTCCATCCACACCATCTCGATGGCTGGCAATCCACAACCGTACGGTTTGCGCGAAACTTCCTGCCTCGCACAGCAGCGTTGTGGAATGGTCTGTCCTCGGCGGTATTTCCAAACCGCTACGACTTAGGGTCCTTCAAGAAGCGAGCTTATCACCACCTCAAAGGCCGGCAACGCATCTGCGGTTCCTCTGGTATTGCTGATGTCCATGGGCGTCGTTGAACACCTCGGTGTTCCCGCTGCTCGTTTGCCCCCTTCTGTTATAAAAAAAAATACTTATATAACCACAGGGAAATTTGTCAACCGCAATGTTACCATAAACGACATCAAACAATAAAATTAATCAGGTACCATGATTGTTCCGAGTGGGACCCGGTCGTAAGCAGATACATCACGATTTCCGCTCACTTCCCGCTGTTTGACGACCCTACAAATGTACAATAGGGTGTCCAAACTTTTCATCTTCCTATCGATATAAAAAATGCTTTTTTATATTCTGGCACCAACCCTAGTTGGTACAAGAATAGCTATGACTCATAAAATTCTTGATTTCTTTTATTAAAAATCTAGTTCGAAACCTTGATATTAATGTAAAAAAAGAACCAAGAAATTCCTTCCTTAACGGTTTGGTTTGGTTATGCATCTGCAGTTCCAGCAGACCAATAAAAAAAATATTGTGTCTTAGATAAGATGATTTAGTTGTAAATTGTTGACGTTATGGACCATCGCACTAAAATACACACTTACCAAATAAAATAATAGCATCATGGTTAACCTATTTACCATATTACATCTTATTAATGATGTTTGCTCATCGAATTATTATTTATTACAAATTATAACAAGCGTGTTCAACTACGCCTCGTCCGCGTCCTGCCATAGATAATTTAGAGATAATAAAGTTTACTCTGACCCCAAACTTCGACCCTGTGATAGTACATCAGGATTTTGTCATTCGAACGGTGGTGTGCGAAACAATCAGCTGTCGCAATGGTGTTCTAAAATTTTTGAAAGACAAAATGAATTTGTGTGTGTTTTTTGTGTGTTTGTGCATAATTAGTGCCGTAAATGGATCTGGAAGTACGTTTTATTTAAATTATTTCACTTTTTGAATATTAATTATTTATTTAACTTGAAGGTATTTAGAAAACTATAAGATTATTAGTGTTTAAATTAAATAGTTAATTGATAACAAAATGTTTTATAAATCCGTGTTAATAATAAATTATAGTTAACTTTAAAAAGACACGATAATGCATTATGGTTTATCTCTCGTTCAAATATAATTTCTTTATATTTTCAATAATTAATTTAAGGGCAAGTTAATTATTATTAAATAATTACTATTGTATCATTTACATCCTTGTTAACTATAGAGAGTGGGATGTGAACTCAAAGATGATGATAATACGTATGGAGGAAACTAATTTATAAGTTACTCGTAGGTATTTTTAAAACGAAACGTTGATAAGGACCTTATCATATTAGGCATAGTCTTAGAGAGATCAGAGGCCAAGCTTATACAAATTTCACATGCCATTTTGTTACACAATATTGTATAAGAAAATGCTATATAAACCAAACATGTGGATATTTTATTTGGATTTATTTGTTGTCAACAACATGGTAGAACCTTTTAGCTTAAAAGTTTTTCATTAATTATTTGTATGTGTCTTAACTGCCATAATGATATCTGGATTCCTAATTACTTATCATGTTATTTACAAGCTGTTTATTATTAAAAACGCAAAGGTTTTAAGTCCGATCTTTGATCTGATTAATGGATTTGTTGTTATATAATCTGAATAAAGTTATAGGCCCAAAGAAAATATTGTTTAGTATTTTAGGCAGGTCGTCAGTATGCGTCTGTATGAGTATTCAATGCAATAGTGTAAACATAATCGGGTTGCCATTTGCTACTTGCCCTCCTACCTTTAAAAAAACCTAAAAAAGGATCGATCTATTTTTCCCTAGGAATTTAAAAAAAAGATATTTTTAAAAAAGGTCAGCTATTTCACAAACTAGCCACACTGCTAGACTGATACTTGGCAACATTATAAAAGTTAGACATTTAATTTCGACATTTGTTTGTAAATAATTACTTTACCGTTACCTAATGCATTACAACCAATGTTTGAATTTACATAAATTGTATACAAAACTGATTTATGAATTAATTTTCAGACTCTTTGAAAGATCCATATATTTGTGGACCACCGTCGTGTGCAGGTAAATAATATTTAGTTTTATGTGAAATTGCCTAATTTTCAAATCCTAAAGTTGGTTTAATATGAAGAAAAATTAATAAAACCTGGAAACATAATTTTCACATAAGTGAAAAAATTAACAAAAGAATTTTTATTTTAGCATCGGAGAAGTTCAAATATCTTGCACAAACAGTATATTACTACAGCTATAATGTAAATGTGGAGACATATTTTGCTGGGTCTAGCAACAACCGTTCAACATTGGATGTAACAGCGGAAGTAAGTGCTGTGTGCCATAGCTTAAACAAACATCTTTTTATGAAAAAAAATTAAATTGAATATTCCCTTTTCCTCACTTTTCTTGAAAGGAAGGCATGTGAAGGAGGAATATTCACTTTCTGTGTGCTCTCTTATTTGTTAATTAAAGATATGCAACATAGTTTAATGGACAGCATTGCTTTGCTATTTTGTCAAATTTAGGTAGCCGTCTGCTCCTTTGCCACCTAATACTATAAAATAATAAAATGTTTATCTAAATCATTTATTCTGATATTTCCAGGTAAAAGTACAATTCATAACTCCCTGTGAAGGTCTGCTACAGCTGCAGAAGATCACATTAACTGATCAAGATGAAAATTATGCTGTTGAGAGATCTGAAAAGTTTGTACAGGCCGTCTCTCAGTTTGATCTCAGGTAATATATAAAAAATATTTATAAATTAATATTATAATAAATTGAATATACTGCATTGTGTCTTTTTAATTAATTGTATGCTGCCTTCCAAAAAAAGTCAAGTCAAAATAAGTCCAGCCATTTTGTAGTTTAGTCGGAACTAAGATGGTTTTGCAGGCTTAAATAGAAATTTCAAAAATTTGATTTTATTAAAAACAACACAAATACATCATGTTGTTTTTATAGCCTTTTCTTAATATGTATACAATGGACCTTTAATAAAAAATTACCAATTGACAAATTAATATTAGTATTTTTAGTCTTAATATACAGGACAATCTTTTTGATATAAATATGTTTCTATACTTTTTCTTATTTGCAGATTTGCATTCCATGATGGTGTCATATCAGAGATATGTCCCAATCTATTGGAGGAGGATTGGGTGCTCAATTTCAAGAGAGCTATACTATCTCTGTTTCAAAACAGCATGAAGAGATTTGATATAAACTTCAATGGATTTGAGGTATGGAAATTAAATGATGATTTTAACACAAACTAACTGAATCTATAACTATGTATTTCAAATATAAAGACAGCTGTATATATACTATTGCTATCTCTGTTTTCTTCCAATGAGAATGATAAAGATGGCAAATATGTAATTATTTCAATTTTGCCGGAATTATATAATTGGCATACATAACACTTCAATCATAGTTTATGATAACTATCTAGTTTCTAGAATATAGAGTTGGACCTGGATAAGCAAGAGTCTAAGAGACCGCAATATTTTTCTAGGTTATAAAGGTTTCTCTTACCCGAGTTTCTTGCTTTTGGTGGTCATCTATTGGAATTATACATTGACTCACTTAACCAGGTTCATACATCATCAGTTCATTATATGTCCCCACTGAGGGCCAGAGCCTATCCTAAGTTACTAGGCTGACTAGGCCATAGTCAAGCATGACCTAGTGCAGTTTAGTTGACTTCACACATAGCTTTGAATTTTCTCGCAGATATGTGCAGGTTGCATCACAATGTTATCCTTCATGTTAAGAATCTAGGTTTGCCTGTATTTTATTCTACGATCTCAAGTAAATTTCATATTTCTCTTCCAGCAAGACATCCATGGCACATGTAATGTGGAGTACACAGTCAGGGGTCAGGAGAACACCAGCTTGATACTGGTGAAGAAGAGAGACCTTGCCTTATGTACAGATAGATATAAATATATGTCTATACTGCAGACTGTCAGATATGATTTTCAAAGTGTAAGTGTTGATTTTTGTATTATACCTACTTTGTTAATTTAATAATCATGGGTTTCTGAGATTGAAATGTCTGTTTAAAACATATCGTCATCCCCATCATTATCTTTGACAAAACAGAGATAACAATATGTTTTATGCAGGGATTTTGGTTTCAGAAACTCACAGTCAGTCTTGGATAACATTTTTTTGTTTGTGTTTTTCTTTTAATGAGAATCATTGGTACTCGTAAAAGATTCCTAGATATTTGACTAAGATAATTTTTGTAGTCATAAAGACACTGGGTTATTGATTTTTACATTTATTTGATTTCCTAATTTTTCATTTCAGAAATTCCAAACCTGGCCAGTTCTAAAATCTGAGAGCAAATGCCGTATTTCAGTAGACCATAACATCTACAAATCAGTGAACTGCAGAGAGAGACATCTCTTTGAACCATTCTCTGGGAAGAACTCGGGCGCTATGTCAACTGTCATACAAGATTTGGTATTGATCAAAGAACTTAATAGAACTGATATTGAAATAATGGAATCACAACCTAAAGGTGAGAGGCATAAAGTTTATAATTGTATCAACTTACTAAAGTTTGCATAGTTCTAGCTTTGATGGCTCCTATGTAAATAATTGTAACCCACAATTTTGTTATTTGCATCTTCTATGTTTTGTAAATTAACTTGATAAATAATAATCTCTGTGTTAATTTTAAGTTACTTTAGAAATAAGAATTGTAAATTTTGGTTTTCTATGCATTGTGATAATTCGTATTAATAATAAATGTATTATGTTGCGTTTTAAACTTACGTATATTTACATAGGAGCTGTATATTATTTGAATTTTGTATACAGCTTGGTTGGTGATACAGAAACGTTCAAACATACTTCACCAACATGTACCAATGAACAGAGGGGACACTGGTGAACTGAGATCTGCTAGAGATGTACTCAAACTACTCTGTCTGTAAGTAATATGATATAGCTAGCTGTCGCCCGCGAATCTGTCTGCGCGTAAATTAAAAAAACTTAATTAGTAGCCTATGTGTTCTTATAGACTAAGTTCTACATCTATGCCAAATTTCAGCGTAATCCATGCAGCCGTTCAGGAGACAACTTCTAAGAAATATCTATTTATTAATTGATCCAAACATTCGAACTTATTAATAAGATCCTCTCTTTTAAAAAATCTTTTTTTTAATACGGAAATGAAGTAACACAAATTACATGATAAGATTGACCTTTTAGAATTATAGATTAAAAAAAAGGGTATTGACTCATAGAGGGACGGACAACAAAGTGATCCTATAAGGGTTCCGTTTTTTCCCTTCGAGGTACGGAACCCTAAAAAAGCAGTGTGTTTGAAAAATTATTTGCTGTTCAGGTAGCTACTAAACATCTGTCATACTAGTGTCTCTTTTTTTAAGCAGAACCGGTTTTTTTTTAAATATAATCTGTATTACAGAGTAAAACAGACAGCTGAGGGTGAAGAGTCAAGCGTGGATGAGAACATGGACAGCGGGTCGATAGTGGGTCTGTGGGGCAGACTGGTGCGCTCCGCCCGCAAGCTGCACCACCCCGCGCTCGCGCAGCTGCTGGCAAGAGCGCCTACCATATGTCCTGCTGCCTCGTAAGTGACATTACTTCGAGTCGAGTTAGGTGGAACAGTGCCTCGAGTATACTCTTGAAAAGACTGACTTCTTAATTATTATAATACTTAAGCAATCTCTTAGTTTTTCATATAAGATCTCCCGTTATCGTTTGTTTCTCAGACCAAAATCTTCATATAAAACATTACGTTTTGGTCTTAGAAGCCCACGGTAAAACTGTTAAAAGTAGCCAGCAAATGAGTTTGAAGTAGTTAAACTTTCTAAATAAACATTCTTTTCTAAAATTGGATTCAAATAAAATTCTTACACTTATGCTTAGAGTTCTATGTTTAGAGTTAGGACAAATTACAAATAATTTATTGTCTTTTAAAATGTCTTCTAATTTGCACTACATTCATGTTGAATTGCATCGATATCCGTTGTGCGATTTTGAATATAACTAAAGTTTAGATAGAGAGAACTTTTTCGCATCTATAATATTAGTGAGGTGACTCGTACTCTATGTTTTATAAAATTTTCTAATATTTTAACTTTTTTTCCTAAGTAAACATATATTGGATGCATTACCGTACATAGCGAGTACGGGTTCAGTAGAACTAATAAAAGACAAGGTGATAAATGAAGATGTTGACAAGGAGACGAGACATGAATGGCTCATGTCTATGGCTATGATACCCAGGTAACAATTTTTATTTAATTTATATTACACTAGATAACGCCGACGACTCCGTCCGTGCAGAAAAAAAAATAGTATCCTATATGTTCTGGAAGACTATGTTCTACATCTGTGCCAAATTTCATTAGGATCCGATGAGCCGTTTTGGAGATAACAGATCAATACCCTGTAATAAACACCCATCTTCTTACTGTGAAGAAAAACATCGTGATGCTGCATATATCTGAGAAGAAATTCAAAGAAATGTGTGAAGTCAACTCGCACTGGGCCAAGGGTCACTATGGCCTAATCACCTCTAACTTAGTGTAGGCTCCGAGCCCCTCAGTGGGGACATATAATGAACTGATGATGAAACATCCATCATTTCAGCATACAATAAATATAGTATGTTTGCATTTCCAGGCCTAGAATAGAAATGTTAAAGAGCATGTTAGAACTACTGCAGAAGCAAAAGAATGATAAAATCGTCAGTTTTACCGTTTCATCTATGCTCCACTCTTACTGCAGGCACAGCGGGAAGTCATGTAAGTATGATTTTGTTATTTTCATCATCATCAGCTCACTATACATCCCCAGTAAGGGGCTCGGAGCCTACCTGAAGTTAGTGACTATGCCATAGTCATCACTGGCCCAGTGCGGGTTGACTTCACACATATCTTTAAATTTATTCACAGATATGGGCAGGTTGCATCACGATGTTTTCCTTTACCGTAAGAACGTCGGATAAATGTACATATGTAAATCGAAAAAGACATGGCGGGATTCGAACCCAGGACCTGTAGATTACAAGTCAAGTGCTTAAACCCCTGTGCCATCAACACTCTCTGTTATTTTATTTAATTGTAAATTTATCCTGAATGTTTGTAAAAATATAATTAAAAATAAATATAACGTCTATTTAATATTAAATGTTATTTTCAGTACGAGAATGTTGTGAAGAAGAAATCCCAAAGCAAATTCTCGAAGAGTTTCAAAATATAGTTATGGAAGTCATCAGCAAAGGTCTTCCGAACGCCGCACGTGAAGATAGGAACAAGGTAATATCATCATCAGCTTACTATATGTGCCCACTGAGGGCTCAGAGCCTACCCTAAGTTAGTAACTAGGCTATAGTCAATGTTGGCCCACTGCGGGTTGACTTCACACATATCTATAAATCTCTTCTCAGATATGTGCAGGTTGAATCACAATGTTTTCACAAGATATGATAATTCATAAGTATAGAAACAATAACTAATAAATGCATAAAAAACAAGTAATGATACAATTATTACACTATACTAGTAATATCTTGAAGAATGATTTTTTATTAAACTAGAATATTCCTTCAATAATTAATAATAATAAACACGACAAAATGCTACGACAAGCTTAGCTACAGTACGACAAGGATCTTATGGCGCATACAAAGCAGATTAGTTTGTCAGTCCATAAAGCGAGCTATAGTCGTTCAATCTTAACTGAACACTTCAACTGACAATTAAAATGTTGCCTAAACATACAGTTTTTTCTATTGAAACTATGAATTTAGACTTTCAGTGTGTACCTGGCTTTATATTGTTTATTTCTTTCCATATTTTCAGGTGACGTACGCAATCAAAGCTCTAGGAAATATCGGAGGCTTCAAGTCTGAATTTGCAGATGTTCTGATGAATGTGATCGGAGACGCATTAGTTCCTGTTCCTGTACGACTTACTGCTATTGATGCCTTTAGAAGAACACCTTGTACAGAGACAAGGTATGGAAGATTATTATGGTGGTTATACACTAGCTGTCGCCCGTTACTTCGTTCGTCGCGGAATTAAAAAAAACTTAATTAGTGTATATGTCCTTTCAGACGGTCTTCTATATCTACGTCAAATTTCAGCGATATCCGTTAAATCGTTTTGGAGATACTATCTAAACAAATATCCATCCAAACACTCGAATTTATAATATTAGTAAGATTGTGGTTAACCTGGAACTGCGCTGCGCAGTACCCGTCTCCCCGTCCCTTTATACCCCACTACATGTAATAATGTGTTCTGCGCAGCGACTCTTGCGATGTTCCGAGCGGACAATGTATTTGAATAATATATTATGTTTATAGAACCCTACGAAAGTCAATTAATTGACTAAGGTCGCGTTGGTACGATTTATCGTATATCAAATTAAATATAACTTCTGAATGACACATTAAGTCGCTATTTGTTGACTATGACATACCCTAAGTGGCAATATTTTATACTAAACTAGCGGACCCGACAGACGTTGTCCTGTCTATTAAAATAAAAAAATTAAATTAAAATTCGAATATTATTTAAAATTTGACACTGCGATGGTAGCGCCGTCTGTCGGATCCAAGGTAAAACATTCCAAAATCAACAACTACTAATAAATTAAAAATTAATTAAAAAAACATTGTCCAGCGGACAAAATTGTGAATCTAAACCATTCCCAGATCCCCTTGAACACACACAAAAAATTTCATCAAAATCGCTCCAGTCGTTTGAGAGAAGTTCAGTGACATACACACTCACAGAAGAATTATATATATAAAGATTTATGTTTAGAATTACCAGTGTGACGTTCCATAACTACATGTCTATGTGGTTATTCCTAAACCTTTTTTTTAATATGAAAGTAAATTAAATGGTTTTTATAGCGTTTTTTTAATAGTCATTTTTAATACTCAGTGTATATTTATGCAATTTTCAGGGAATACTTCTTAGAAACATTCCGTGAAGAGCTGGTGGATATAGAAGTGCGGATAGCATCGTATCTGCAAGTAATGCGATGCCCGGATCTAAATATCATAAGGAGGATATTCCACGCACTCAAAAACGAACCCGTTAATCAAGGTATAATCATTTATTTAAACACTAGCGGTCGCCCGCGACACCGTATATTCGGAATTTGATAAAAACATAGTAGCCTATGTGTTCTTCCAGACTATGATCTATATGTATGCCAAATTTAGCGATCCGTTCAGCTGTTCTAGAGATATCTTCAAACAAACATCCATCCATCCGAACTTTCGCATTTATAATATTATAATGCCACATGTACATTATATAGTAGTTTTTGCTTTCGCAATGAAAATTTAAAATAAGTATTAGGGTCTGTTCACACAGACCGAGACGAAATGCGGAACAGATTATAACGCAAATAAAATTGAGCTTTATGTAATTGGAATAAAGTTTAATTTTGCTCGACTTTTATTTGCGATTAAAATCTTCTGCTCTGTGCCCCGGTCGATGTGAATGGACCACGTACAATTTTTTTTATATGTATAATTACATGTCTATGTTTATCTCCTCAGCGGTAACGTTCGTATGGAGTCATCTAAACAACCTAGGTCAATCATCATTGCCCTCCCGGGTAGAGATCCAAGGTCTGCTGTCAGGGAACACCATGCCGCGACTAGACGACAGCCCCGACTTCAGAATGTACTCCAGGAACTACGAACAGAGTATATTCTTTGATCAATATAATGCAGGTCAGTTATTACAAATAATTATTCATCATCAGCTCACTATACGCCACCACTGAGGGGATAGGAGCCTACCCAATTTAGGGCTGACTAGGCTATAGCCAATGTTGGCCACATATCTTTGAATTTCTTCGCAGATATGTGCAGGTTGCATCGCCATGTTTTCCTTCACCGCAAGAACGTCGTATAAATACTATCAAGTAATCTTCTTTAGATATCTAATTAAAGAAAAAAATCCAACGCTATATGCAAAAATACAAGGCAACATAAATCTTTGAAACTAATATTGTGTCCTAACGTCGCGTACATACAACGATGAATCGTTAACGACAGTTGTCTATTAGACTACGGCTATAACGAGTCAATTTATTTATATAGCGAGGAATTATTTACAAGATAATTAGTAGCCTATGTATTTCTCCAGACTATGTTCAGTCGTTCTAGTGATACCTTCAAACAAACATCCATCCATCTAATCATTCGTATTAATAATATTTATCCGATAATATTTTCAGGTGGTAATTATGAAGCGAATGTAGTATTCTCTCCTGATTCATACATACCGCGCTCTTTGTCACTCAACTTGACTGTTGATATGTTTGGCGAATCCATCAACCTACTAGAGGTAAGTTTTAAAGTATATATGCCACTGAAAAATTGTGGATGCTGGCAATTTGTAATTTGCCTAGGCAAACACTACTCTGTAGAGTAGATCTAATTGTATCCTAACATATTACTAACCGTGGCTTTCCGAGTCCATAATCTTTGTTTAAAACATATTGTTTACTTTGTTTTGTTAATGACAGGGATTATGATATGTTTTATACAGAGATTATGGTCTTAGAAATCCACAATAAGTACAGTCAAGTATATTGTCACTGTACGAAATATTATTTTTCAGATCAAAGCCCGTGGTGAAGGTTTCGAAAAATACTTCGAAGCTTTCTTCGGTAAGAACGGTCCTTGGAGTAAAACAGAAATAACAGACAAAATAAATAAACTACGTATAATGCGGTCTGCAAACGAAGCTGAGGATTTGAAAGAGAAAGTTGACGGCTTAGGTTATAATAATAATGCATTGAAACATCGATATCCAATGGCGGAGTTAGGATTGAAAGTGTTTGGGAATGAAATATCTTTCTGGAGTGCTGAAGGTCCGGATGAAATTGTCAAGTCTTTAGAAAAATTGAATCCTAAGTTGAGAGTACTAGAAATATTGTCTGGAAAGGTAAGTTTAGTAAGATTTTTATCTATTTTGTTCAAATTTAATTAAAAGATAAACATGATTTCTTGAGGGCTTTTTATAAAGTAAATAAAATAATTTGGCTCGATTTCTAGAATCGAATAGTCATTTCGGTTACAAAACGCATCGGAATACCAAAAAAAACTGTCCAATATAATACTGTCCTTGTATTTCATTAATATGAAAATTAATAAGGAATTTATCTCTTATGCTATAGGAAATAAAGTACAATAAGGCATCCTTGTTCCTGGACACGACGTTCTCAGTGCCGACTGGTTGCGGGCTGCCACTCAATATGAACCTGATGGGCACCAGCTACGTGGATACAAAGATGTCGGGCACTGTTGTGGATAGATTCGAGCAAGCTGGCAATCTAGACTTCGCTGGTATGATTAGACCTAGGTAAGTATTCAGAATTGTAAATCTATAAAAAAATCCTGTTTGCTAGTTGAGTTATATTTGATTTTGAGTGCCTAAATATGTGATAATGGTGAATGATTGAAATCTTAGTTCTTACTAATATTTAGTGGCTGTCGCCCGTGACTCCGTCCGCGTAAAGAAGAAAAGAACAGGAAAAAACTTAATAAGTAGTCTGTGTGTTCTTCCAGACTATGTTCAAAATCTACGCCAAATGTCATCGCAATCCGTTGAGCGGTTCTGCCGATATCTTCTAACAATTATCCATCCATCCATTAATGTAAATTTTAACATTTATAATAAAAAAAGTAAGATATGAGTAAAAAGTAAGATGCGAAAGTTTAGATATGGGTTAGAAGGTGTCGCCAGAACGGCTAAACGGATCTCGCTGAAATTGCGCATAGATGTGGAACAGTGTTTGGAAGAATTCAAACTAATTAAGTTTTTTTTTTAATTCCGCGCGGACGAAGTTGCGGGCAAAAATTAGTTTTTAAATAATATTTTATTCCAGTGTTGCGGTGAACATAGCTGCAACAATGGGCGTGGTGGCGGTCTCGCTCAGCTCCAGCGCGGTACGACTGAGCGCCCGCCTGTACACCGCCACTGCGCTCGAGGCTAAGCTCAGTCTGCGCGGACTCAACGTCGGTAGACTGGATCTATCACTGCCCAGGGATAAGCAGGAGATATTTGCCGCTAAGTAAGTTTTTTATGTACTTAATAGACCTCACAGATCTTTGAATATAATGATTGGATAATTGAAAAATCATTGAGTATAGTGACAATAAGTTTTGCAAGAATTTGTCGAAGGCTTATCATTATGTTATATTTACAGTTTTTTTGTTTTCATCTTGCCGTTAACTACTATCACAGAATTAAGTACTTGGCCACAAGGATGCTAAACTTGTAACACATATCAATATGTTAGGTCAGAGCTGGTGATTTTACACGGAGAGCGAGAGCTGCAGCAGCCGGGGCTGAACCGCAACCGCATCGCGCGCAGCACCTGCAGCTGGACTACAGTAGACCGCGCTATAGGCATTAAACTCTGCGCTGCTTACCAGGTAGAGTTAGCTCACTTCGTGGTGCTATTTCTATATGTTTACGGGACTGATGCATGCACTTTTCTTGACGCTTAAATTCTGCTCCTACTTACAAATTTAAGTGCTTAAGATGATTGCATAAAAAAAACAATTACTGTATAGTGTGGTATACGTTAGTATTATCGAACTTTTAAAGCACACAAGATATTCAAATAAATTTCGAGGTCGAACACCACCGGCTTACCGCACTGTACTTTCGATAAGAGAATCATGTTCATGAAGTTGAATTGCTATTTAAAAAGAAACTTATCATAGAAAGTAAAATATGTGTAAAAGTATTATAATTTTAAAGCAAAACAAAGACTATTATTCCCAGTAACTTTATTCTCTAACTTTTCAGTTCCCGAACATGACGAATTTACACAACGCACCATATTTCCTTATGAGTGGGCCGGCTAAGTACATCCTGTCACTGGAAAAGGCGGACCCATCTGCCAAAACATATGCATTCCAATACAAATGGCAGAAAAATGACACCGCTAATGTTATTGGTTTCTCTTTCGACACTCCAGATAGCAAAGTAAGTTATTAATTTCATTTTTTTTTGTTTCGAAGAAATTAATACGTGAATATTTAATAGTTCAGTTTTTTTCGTGACTTGCATTATAAAGTATCACACAGACTGGGTGGAAAGCAGATTTTATATCGCTTTTTTCGCGATTTTATATACTTTCCCGCTAATCCAAGTTCGACTGTACATTTTAATTTCTAGGAGAAACGAATGATAGATGCATCAATGATAATATCAAATACGAGCACATCCGCATCTTTGAGTCTACAATCCGCACGCAGTACTCTCAGAGCTCGCGCCCTCTACCGGAATTTACCTCACGACAAATCTCTTCAAGCGAGTCTTGATGTAGACGGACGTAAGCAATTTGATACAACAATGTCTATCAAACGACATGATATCAAGTATGGATATGTCTGGATACCACATGCGTATTGGGTCATCAATAATGAAACTATTGCTGAACTTTCCGGTAAGCCATAACATTTAAAAAAATTAACTCTTGTATGTATAGTGTGAAAGATAATGCTCTACAAAATTTAAATTACCTCATTTTTCCTTTCTAACCGTGGGTTTCTGAGACAAACAGGGACTGTTTAAGACATATTGTTATCTCTTTATTGTCAAAAATAATGACAGAGATGACGATAATAATAGAGAATTGGCGCTCAGAAACCGACGGTAAAAAGACGGTAAATATAAAAAGGAAAGATTTCATTGTTTTGTTTGCACTCAACTGAGCTGAGCTACACTGTCCCTGGGTGTCAAAATATATATTATATTTATTAATAGTTTTTTTAATTCCACGCGGAGGAAGCCGCGGGCAACAATGCCCTTCTCAGGCTCTGAAAGAAAAACAAATATAGCAATATTTTTTATACATTGTACAGTTGAAATTCCTGGATTTGTTTATTTTTAAAAGCATAAAATTTCAGGTACCGTGAAAGTGAAAACTAAAGGCGGAGTCACACAATGGGATATCACCACGGACTTTCAGACAAGACAACTCGCCAGTCGTTTGATTGGCTACTATACTTTGAACGGACCAACTCACGGCGCGAAGTTGCAACTCGATTATGAGTTTTATAGGAATCCTAAGCAGACTATTAGGTTGGAAGGTGTCTATAGCGAGCGAGTACTCGGCTATAGACACGACCTTTATGGAGAGTTGTCTATGGATTTCACTGCGTATCCGGGATACAACTTTTACGCTGTACTCAGGAATGTGGTAAGTTTTTATAATAGATAAATGATTAAACGATCAATATTTTTTCTTCATTTTATACAAAGTTCTATGGCTCTTTTCGAAACAAATGGCTTATTATTTATGGCTCTTACCGAAACGTATCTATAATCTATTTAACTAAATATTTAAATTTCAGAAAACACAAAGCCACATCGACATTGGCTTCAACGTGAGTGCGTCCCGCCAGCAAAAGTTGGACCCGGCATTTACAGTGACATTCAAACGTATAGACAAACTGAGCGGAGTGAAGTTAGCTGCAGAACTTGCTATGACACGACCACCTAGACCTATACTGATGAAATTTAACTTTGAAGAGGTTAGTACCTGCGAGAATGTTAGTTATTTTAAGGCGATTTAATTTTAATTCTATAAAAATACACGAGTATCCTTTCCTCTAACTGTAGAATCTTTGGCCAAATTGAATAACAGTCTTGCATTTATTTATTACTGAGACATTTCCATGCTATGCTATACATCTACGTCAAATTACAGCGAAATTCATGCAGCCGTTCTCCAGGTTCTTTCTAACAAACATCCATACATACATCCAAACACTCGCATTTATTATGTTAGTAAGATACTTTATTGTAGACATCAAGTAGATCACAGATATCTTAAACTCCAATCATAAGAAATACTTTATTCTTTCCACAGACAGGACCAAAGTACTCAGCTCTAGCGGTACTGAACTTCAACCCGAAGTCTCGTGAGATCGTACTATCTGGGTACGTGTTCGCACCCGCGGGCTCGCAGCTGTATGTAGACGCGGAGGCGAACATCACATTACCCACGCTACACCCTTGTACATTGCGCGCCAAGCTGCATGAAAAACAACCAAATGAGTTTCAGGTTGGTATTCACGAAAAACAATGAGTTCTACAATGGTATATAAGAATAGAAGTCCAAGTTGGTATACACTAGAAACAATGAGGTCCAAGTTGCTATACGAATTGGAGAAACTATTAAAATGAGTTCCAGATATAAACGAAAAAAAAAATTAAAGAGCTAATTTTGACCGTAAGTAATGTTCGTTATATTCTCATTTTGCAATGCATATATGTTTACAGCTAAACGCCGTGGGTATTTGGTTTACCGGTGTGGACTTCAACGTAGACGCGCTGTACCAGGACCAATCTAAGACCAATCTAGCCTCGCACCGCGTCAAACTGATACTGAACAGTAGCCATTTCAAAGATATATTGGTGGATGCACGCTTCACCCAGGACAACCGTCAGATTACATTTATTGGACAGGTATGGGCGTCAAAAAAATATATGTTAAAACGCATTTTTATGAAACCAATACGTGCAGTTGTTTTAATTGTATTCGTTTTTATGCAAAATTTTGTTTTTCACTTACTAAGTGAGATTTGGGTGTTTTCCTTTGGTCCGATAGGTCTAACAATAAATGAGAATTTTGTTATCCATTGGGTCGATTACTACATTCTGTGATTCTTAAATTAGTACTAGTAATTTATACTAAGTGGTTATTAAATTTCACTCAACACGTTACTTAATCCTAACCTTATTAAGATGGATGCGGTACTGGTTCAGTGTCGCCCTCTGGTGTATACACTACAACAATTACGAAATTCTATCTATACATAACACCTTATTGGCTCTTTGTGCGAGTCGCTACGCAGAATACAATGTTAGGTATAGGACTGCGGTGGGAGGATACTGCGCAGCTCAGATGACCTTGAGGTACGAAGATATTTTAAAAGTTTAATACTTTGCACAGGGGGAGTACAACACAGCGAGTTATCGTGCGTTAGTACGTCACGTGTCAGTAGCTGAGCAACGATTCAGTACGTACGGGGAGGTGGACGCCGCCGGTCGCGCATACAGCCTCACTCTGAACGCCGACCTCAACAATAACACTGATGTCAGCGCACATCTTCACTTTGATCAGTATGTATCAATGTATTTCTACATACCATATGGAAAATGAGTTTTCAACAATGGTGGAGGCCAGCATAATAACATCTGTTGCATAAATTAGTCGGCTCGTCCGCTGCAATACAGTCAATTCCACATTTCGTCGAATGTGTGTGCGTTCTACAGATCTAATTTTAGATATCTTTCCCCATCCCTGTTTTATAGGAAATGGGCGGGAAGGGAAAGTGGATTTAATGGAAGAAAGTACGCATAGGCAAAGGAAATATTATCTTTCAGTGCGTCTCCTCCTTTGTCAATTAAAGGCAACGAATCTGCAATTGCGGATGTCACTAAAGTAGCGTTTACTTCACTATTTCAACGAATTCAGTTCCAGCTTGCTCACATCATACACAATCTCTTTCCAGATTACGTGACGTAGAAATATCGTACCAGCGTTCAAGCACGGAACTACAGAAGCGTCTTAGCGCATCAATAAACTGGGACGCGAACCGCGACCCCTCACAGAAGCTGAGCGTGGACGTGCAGCTGGACAACAAGGGGAGATGGCACCGCGCCGGACACATCGCGCTGTACTACCCCGGCAGAGTTGTAAATGGAGAGTTTGACTTCTTACTTAAAGGTAAAATCGTTTATTCGTATATTAACTGTCGCCCGCGACTCCGTCGGCATGGGATAAAATAACAAAGTAGCCTGTATGTTCTAGGATATGTTCAAAATCTGTGCCAAATTTTATCAAGATCCACTGAGCCGTTCACGAGATACCTTGTAATAAACATCCATATCCATCTAAACTTTAGCATTTATAATATTAGTAGATTGTTTTGTGGCCATCATAAAGGGGAATTTGTCATATCGTGGCGATCTTTTGGGGAGGCCTATGCCCAGCAGTGGGCGTCATATGGATGAAGAGAGATTGTTTTGCAGTATTTGTCCCTTACGTTAAATCCTTAATGTTTGTTTTTTTTAAATATATATTTTTTAAGAAAAAGATACAATTAAATTTTCATGTGGCTAGTTTTAATATTTGATCGGTTGATATTTGTATAATGAATCAGATTGGTTCTGCGAATGGCACGTGCGCATGGGGTGGGCGAGTGACGCGACAGTATTGTGGCGGGTCAAGATGTACTCTGAAGCGCGGGAGGAGACTGTGTACGCGCTGCTCTCCAGTCTGGACACGCCCTTCGCCGGCTGGCACGATACCAGCTTCAATGTTATGTGAGATAACTTATTTAATAATATTGTGCGCTTGTTTCATATTAACTTTTGATGTAAATGACATATTATAAAATATTGTAAATTGATTTATTCTTTTCGTGGGTTTCTGAGAACAAAATCTCCGTTTAAAACTATCTATGTTTTTTCATTTTTTAAAGATGATGATAAAATAATCAACAGCCTCATTTAAGTCTAAACGACGCTAGTGTCATTTCTAACCAAAATACTTGACAATTCTCTCTGTTACCCGTCAGGTGGCGTTACCAAGACAACCTACAAGCACTGAACGGCAGCATGAAGTGGCAAGAAGACTATCTGGCGTTCAATCTGCTCGCTGACTACATGTTCAAAGCTAATGAGTTCTATGGTGAGCTGAGCGCGCTCGTCAACTCCACTATACCCACGTTACCTCGAGCAGCGGCTATAGCACGGCATAGAGCGGTCTGGAAGAAGAGTGCGGACACTTTACTTAGTTTTCAGGTCTGTTTCTTTTGTAACACTGCATACTGATGTGTATTAATATGCTAATGAAAAATCTTTTTTTTAGTACAATGATGAAGGAAAGTTGATGATTAATTCCTCGTGGAATCTGGAAAGAGGTGAAAAGGAGAATAACATCACAGGCAGAGTAACTCTCGTTACTCCATTCCAGGTAAACGATATTTTACTTTATGCATAGAATTATTATACATTAATAAAATGAACACCGAACCCAATTTTGGATGGATGGATGGATAATTGCTAGAGGGTATCTCCAGAAAGCTTCAACGGATTTCGATAATGTTTGGCATAGATGTAGAACATAGCCAGGAAGAACAAGTAGGCTACATAATTTTATTTTTTAATTCAGTTTAAAGCTAAACTTATCATATAATCTTCTATCTACAAAAAAATTCTACGTAATGTGATTGTGGGAATAAGCAAATCAATAATATTTGTAACTTAATCTTTTCCAGGGCTACACAAGTGGATTCCTCCGTACAGAATTCGTACTCGGTCACAAGAGAGACATCAAAGGCATTACTTATTTAGATTTGGAGGAGAAAGTCGTCAAAATTTATGTTGATGGTGAGTTTTTTATATTATGATTGCATATAGACTGAATAGTAGTAAATTGTATATAGTATCTGCAAATGCCTATGAGCAGTTACTTCGCTGTTTTGGCGAATTTAAGCGGCCGCTTGTTCGTATGTCACTTATGCTAAAAAAAATACTTGAAATCGCCAAAATAGCGAAGCCACCGCTGCTCACAGACATTCACATTTGTAGATGCGTTGCCGTTTGCTTGCGTTTAATCGGTGAAGGAGGGGACGTACAGAAAGAGATTCCCCTTCTCCAGCAAATCCACTTCCACTTCCCAACCATTCCTTATAAGAGTGGGGAGAGAAAGAAAGAACGCTATGTGACGGTACTGTTTCAAATATACAACAAAATGTATACCGTGTTTCAGGTCATATGCGACGCATAACTAACTGTATGTTAGTAGTCAACGTGACAAGTCCCGCCAGTGAGATGTCCCGCATGGCCGCACGCTTCGGCTTCGTAGAGCGTGACAGGCATCTAGTCGCCATGGTCGTCACGCCGAATTCTACTACAGGTTAAATAATGTTATAAGTACAGATTATGCAAATTTTAACATTTGTCAAGGCCATTTATGATATATGTGGTGTTACTGAAGGTTCATAACACTCTATACAATGACAAAGATATCTGAAATCAGCTCACTAGCGCCCTCCTGTCAACGTCAAATCAGTGTCACAAGATCCTTTTAATACTTTTTATGCCCCTGTAGGTTTTAAATATTTTTCTATAGAACTAATCACGATAGCAGGTCTATCTCACTGGGTCAGATATCCTTATTTGGCTTCCCGTGGGTTTCTGATATCAAAATCATCAGAAACCAACGGTAAAACAAAACATCTTGACAAGTTCTTCCTTAAACAATGCGCTCTGTACCAAAAACTATCATGATTAACTAAGTTCCACTGCGTTCGTAAATATCAAATTGATTATTTTTTGTTATTTCCTTAGGCATTGAAATCTTGCTGAAGCTGGTTACGATGCAAGATTTCCACGTGTTCGGTCACATCGCATTGCCCATACAGTACCTCAACCGCGCCATGATCACCGCAAAGCGCGCGCCCCAAGAAGTTAGTACATGTCATAAAAATACTTGCTTACAAATATAAATAAAATCGACTTAAGTTAATGTAATTATGTACACTTTAGATGTGGACGATTATTTTCAGAACTGTTTGATCGTTCGTACTCTTGACGATTCCAGATAATGTCTAAAAGAACCTTAACTCCTTTAACTGGTAGAAGCAATTTTGTGTCTCAGAAAAATAAAAACTTTTTTTTTGTTTATTGTGGGTACTTTAATAATTTTTATTAAAGAAAAAAAACAATCATATTTGGTTGAAGAAAAAAAACATGGTGGCAATATCCTTGCCAACACCAGTATGAGCTCTGTTAAATTCTGTTCATGGTGTTTCCTCTTGCAGTTGCTGAAATAATTTAAAACATGGGTGCTACAAAATGGAAAAAATCATAAAAATGTTGGTGGCACATATATTGCCACCATCAGTAAAAGGGTTTTAGTAATTACTAGTTACTAGTATACTAATTAGTACAAACATTCGGCAACGTTTGTATTCCCATATGTTTGTCTCGGTCTGGCGCTTACGATTCCTTTAAAGGTTGCCTACAGTTGTCTTTTTCAATCTTATTTAGCATGAAAGAGACGCAAGAACTTTAAACCTTGATGATTATTGGTACGATGCGATTTTTCATGATTATTGTCTGCAGCTGGACTTCCGCGTGGGCTGGTCAGAAATGGACTTCGGCTTCACAGGGATATGGCAATGGCGTTCAGCACTCGATTTTGTATACGTATACAAATTGTATACGCCTCTAGACGGCTTCGAAGAGAACGGATTAGTACTTAAAAATATCTTCGGTGTAAATACTGGCGGTGGATTGGATACTGAGTTGTCTATGAGATTGTCTAAACATAAGGTAAGGTTACACTGCTGTTGCTTTGTTCTTAGATACTTCCTGACTTTAGGTTTTGATTGACATATAAGTTATTTGTATTGACATATAATGTCGTACACATACACTTAAAAAAACAATGTGTCAAATGTCAGTCAAAAACCAAAGTTAGATATATACCACATCGACATCGCTGTAAAGTTTAAATGGTGGTGGTACTGTCGTTCTCTTTGATGAAACAGAAAAGGCATTGTTTTTCTAAAGACGTTTCATGCGCATGCGCATTGGAAAACAAGCAACTGTTTATGGAACAATAATAATTTTAATTTAAACGTGTTTCAGTTTGGTATAGCAATGTTATTGGTAGACAAAGGTAAAGGTTTGCTAGACGTGATAAAAGACCACTTCCAACACAAGCCGAGTGACCCGGACATGTTCGTGGAGAACTTTGATACAACGGCCAATGTAGTACTTGACACATTGTACTATCCTACGATCACATTCCACGCGCACATGATGAAGGTAACAGTAAGATAAGATCACTTTTATAATAGTATATTAGAGTGAGGCTCTGAGGAGTTTAAAAGATTGTGCTAAGTTTTTGCAAATTTTAGTCAAATTAGGAACGGTTGAGGCGCTGCTATCGTGGTTAGTTCTGTCAGAATAGATATAAAACCTTCTTAGAAATAGAAAATGACATGACAGTATGTATATACACCTTTTGACATTTTCAACCTTGTTAGGAGGGCGCTTGTGAGTTTTAATAATTTAGTTTGACTTTCGCCTACCGGTTCAATTAGCTTTGTTGGTCTATTTGCAGCGTTGACATTATGACTACGGAGAAATCATTATGGAAACTATATAATACTTACTTATTTATATATGTTACATTTATTTTTTAGTTTGTGGGGCCTGATGAAGAAGACATATTGGAAGTCAACGCAACCTTACATTTGCCGAACAAAACACCTATCATTCTTACTGATGTATTCGTCTTGGAGGTATTTTCTTTTTTTAACTATACTTTTAACATCATTGGAAAATAAAAAAAACAGTCGCAAAGATAATTTACATGTTAAAAAATAAATTAACCGATCACTCTAAGAGAGAAGCTATATAGTTTTTCCTAGCGGCAACACACTGCTCGTTTCGCATACCTCTATCAGTTTCCATAGTTGAAACACTTATTCTCTTTTTCCTTAAGATTTTTTTAATGCAAGTGTTACATTAAAACTATTTTGTTACAGACTTACGCAGAAATGCGTAACACGCTTAATTTAATTACACCATTCCAAGCTATTAAAGAGTTAAAGTCGGTTTACACGGTGGACATCACGATAGGACAGAAGTTCAACGTGACATGTGTCGCTTTACTATATAACGGCACATACTGGCATGAGGTAATTTACAAATATATTACCATCAAAGACTACCACCAAAGACATATTTAAACACTATTATCTTATTTAATTAACTGCGGGCTTCTGAGACCAAAATATCCGTTTGAAACATATTATCTCCCTTTCGTCAAAGATAGACAAGTATGACGATATGTTTTATACAGAGATTTTAGTTTCAGAAAGCTACGATAAATAAAAGCAAAAAGATCAAAAAAATCTTAGTAGTAGTAATAACCTTAAGAGAAAGCAGATTTTTAAGGACCGAAGTAATAGATATGAACGTTTAGTTTTAAGTTACAATTACCCTCTTTATGTTTTAGAAGTATTTGTCCGTCTTTCTCTTTTATATCTTTCTCTTTCTAACATGTATGCATATTATACGTTGTACAGATCTCATATAAAATTCTATATGAGCACGAAAGCGGCGAGGATGACGCGTACCAGTCGTACTTAGCTTCAGTAGGAATAGCAACCCCACTGGCTGTGTTGCCCGGCCTCGAGGCACGCGTTTCTGCACGACTTGAGGACGCGCTGTGGAAGATGGCCGCAGATATCAGCATGCCCTCCTTCACTGTTAACGCACTCGCACGACTAGAGGTACGGTAATGATATGGGTACAGGTACGCGTACGCGTGCACGTATATGTATTCAGATTCTGGTACAAGTAAGGCCCTAGGTACACATCGGAACATATAGTCGCTAAGAGTTCCTAATATTCTATTTCTTACTAATTTTATAAATGCGAATGTTTAGATGTATCGATGAAATTTTCGAGATGAAACCATACACTATTAGTTTTGACAATTTACGTTGACTTTTGTACTAAATGCCTATGAATTCAGAAAAGATTACTTTGCCCCTTTTCTGCTATAAATGATTGTAAATTATGCTCATATTTTACACATATTTGAAGTGTTCTTTTCAATATTCTGAACGATTCATAAATTTGTGGATTTTCTTCACTTTTATTATATTTTTTTTATTCCTAAAAATCTGAACAATTTACAATATTGAGTGTGTGAAATTAATTTAATTTAGTAATAAAGTAATTTTGGAATATTTCAGTTGGACGATCCATTCATAGAGACATCGGGAAGTCTGAATCTCACGTCTACATACTTGGAGGATTACTTCATCAAGATGGAGTTCAAGAAAGACTTCTCGGACGTGGAGAGTGTAATGGGCGGCGGTATACAGATACAGCAGGGAAATTATAATAATTATGTAAGTTAAAATTTTTGGTTTTCTAATAATTGAATATTCAATAGTAACATCTTTGTAAAAAAAAAACAAGACAAAGGTTAGAAATCTTGTCTCTTTTTCTCCAAAGTCCATGGTATTAGAATTGCCTACAATAAGGATATAATCTGGGTTTCTGAGACCACTATCCTTTGTTTTGTCAAAGATAATAACTGGGGTTACGATATGTTTTATACAGAGATTTTCGTCTCAGAAACCAACGGTTAATGTGTTCTTTAATTATTTAAAAATATAGACTTCTATAGTCTCTATCAACATTGAAAAGTGAGGTATCCATTTAATTTGTATTCTCCAAAATGTCAGTTTTTTTTTGTTTTAAGGTTTTAATGCTGAAATTTCAGTAAAAACAACTTTTAACATAACTAATTGTTCAATCCAGTTATTCGCGGACGCAGTATGGCGGCCAGCTCCGCGTCACGTGCGGTTCAAAGCACGAGGTGCGCTCGTCCCCGTACTGGAGCCGTCAGACATCGCGCTGCAGTACAGCGAAGAAGGTGGACAGAGGACATTGATTGTGGACTTTAATAACCAAGACAGTTATTACTCGTTGAAAGCGGATCAACGACCGGCATCGCTTAGTGTCGCGCTTAGTAGCCCTCATAAAGGATTCAGGTTAGTTAAGAAAGTTATATGAAAGTAGCATTTTCACGCGACTTCGTATGAGCAGAATTTAAAAAATGCTTAATACGTAGCCTATGTGTTCTTTCAGACCGTGTTCTACGTCTGTGCCAAATTTCATCATCCATTGAGCCGTTCCGGAGATACCTTCTAACAAACATTCATCCATCTAAACTTTCGCATTTATAGTATTAGTAAGAAATAACTCTATGTAATTAATATTGCAGAGCAATGAAGATAATAGCAGAGTTCGAGAAGGATGACATCCGAGGTTCATTCGTGACTGACACCACGGAGTATGGCATCAGTGGTAAAGTCACCAACAGGCAGCCGCTAGAGGTCATATCATTTTTTTTTACCTTTACTTTAAAGTATAATATAACTATATCTACAATCAAAACACTAGCTTAAAACAATTATCAAACCTCTTTAACATTATAATAATTTTGACAAGTAATAATTTTAAACTAGAGTCCCAAGAGACCTTATTTTTCTCGCTTATAGAGGTTTGTCACTTTTCCAGGATTGACTGTAGTAAAATGAAAAAAATCTGTACCACTGCTTGTAATGGTCGAAGTGATTTGTATTCTGCTCCTGAGTTGAACATTACGATAAAATAACACAATTTATATTAAAATAAAATAATAGAAATCATAAAATATCGAGCGCAAAATTAAAAAAAATCTAGCCTATAACGTGCCCGCGTGCATTAGCTACCTTCCCGTCCAAGTCCCGTCAAAATCTGTCCAGCCGTTCCGGAGATTATACGGAACAAACGCGGCCTTACGGACAGACATACAGACAGACAGACAAAAAAAATTATATGGTTTTTTGTTATCACTTTTTTCTCTATATTACTTACAGACACTCCAATTTTATTAATATGTATAGATAAAATGATACATTTCAAGGTATTTACTAAATTATTACGTTTCAGATGTCTCTAGTCCTAGTACCGAAAGGTCAAGGTCAACAGATCCGTGTACGTATGAAGTTCGAAGCTACGCACACTGTATACGGCCTGTCAGCACACATCGCAGGTGGAAATGTACAGGCTACTGTTCACGCTAAAGCCGAGATGGAGGCTAACTTTACTGATATTTATTTAAAAGTACGTATATTTTTATTACTTTCAGACTATGTGCCACATCTTACGACCACCAATACGACTTAGGGTCCTTGAAGAAGCGAGCCTATCACCACCTCAAAGGCCGGCAACGCATCTGCGGTTCCTCTGGTATTGCTGATGTCCATGGGCGTCGTTGAACACTTCGGTGTTCCCGCTGCTCGTTTGCCCCCTTCTGTTATAAAAAAAAAAAAAAAATCTGTACCAAATTTCAACAAGATTTATGCAGCCGTGCTAGAAATACTTTCTAACAAACATCCATCCATCCAAACATTCGCATTTATAATATTAGTAAGAGGATTTTATATAAAGGCTCCAATTCAAACTACAGATGGATAAAAATATTTTGTTATAATTATTTTGTATGTATTCCAGGTAGATATGCCACAAGTGCAAGGCAAGGAGATATACTTGAAGTCTCGTGTGGATGCGTACCCCGGACTGCGGCGTGTGCTCAACGTGCAGGCAGCCACGCCGCTCAAGAAACTCAGCTTCCTAAAAGGAGATACTGACTTTGAGTAAGTTTAGTAATATCTAAGCGAGAGGATTATTTTCCGTGTTCGCTTCGAAGCGATTCCATAACGAACTTCAAAAATGTATAGAAATAACTTTCGATAAATGAAGTGATTGTCGCGCGTCAGTTTCATACATTTTTGAAGTTCGTTACGGAATCGCTTCGGAGCGAATACACTTTGTCAAAACCCACAAATCGTGAGTTAATAGAACGAAATATGTAGTCTGAGGGCCTAGCTTACTTGTTACTATTTTTTTTATATTTTCATACTAGTTAAGTTGTTTCTATAGTTATGTATGTTGTTTTAACATTATTTCATTTTTTTTTGTAATTAAGAGTTTGACATATAAATATTTATATATAATATTTGTTGGTGTACTTAACGCACAGCAGGTGGCGCTACACAACTTTTAATACAATTTTGTCAATTTCGTTATGAAAACATTCTCACGAATATTCGTGGTATTCCAGTTTTGCTCTTATACATATACCTTGAACCGACTCCATCATTCTACATCTATCCTTCAACTTTATTCGAGTCTTATGTTTAATAAAGTACCTTTATTCTTTGTGTCAGATGAAACTGATTTTTTTTATTTATTGTGTTTCTTCAGATTTGGTCCGAAGACTGGATACTTGTTATGTAAATACGAATTGCCTGATATGAAGGGAGAGGGCGATCTCAAGTGGAGCTTCCTTATTGGAGATTTATACATTACGGTAAATTAATAGAACATATTTTATTTCGAAATAAACACTAAGGTTCTGTTAATCGTGATTTTGTGTGTAAACTTAAGATTGCGGTAGATAACTATACTTAAGAAATAATTTAATTAAATTTAAGGAGTCTAATTTGTACTTTATTCTATAGGCAATAGGGCAGCAATTAGTAAAGCAGATACAAAGAAGTGTCGACTTAGACATCTTCTTTGGTAATAATACATCTTCCAGCGGACTGGACACAACTGAGGCTGGTTTTAGAATGGATCTAGATAAAGTTTGGCAGTAAGTTACATTTTTATTTTGAATATATTTTCAGTGTAAATAATCATTATTTTTACTATAAACTACGATTTACCCTCTAAAATACCTCTGGTAAAAATAAACTGCAGGATCCTCACGATAAAGGCTGTAGCTGTTGCGAGGATCTGTGTGATTACTGTGAAAATAGTCGATCACGAAATAAACTGTAGGTTTCTGAGACTAAACTTCCATTTAAAACATATTTTTTTTTCTCTATTTTTGTTGGATTACGATATGTTTTATACAGAGTTTTTGGTCTCAGAAACCAACGATAAGTAATGGAAGTGCAATAATTTTCTATTTAGTTTTTTTTTATTTCCAGAATCGGTGGTAACGCATCCTACGGCTACATAGTAAACAAACGTGTTAACCTAGTTATCAACGCGATATTACCTAAACCCAACGTGGACGTCCACACGTTGTATATAGACGGTGATATTGGTACTGATGACACACCAGAGAAAGTATTACTTGCTGAATACAGAACTGATGTCACTAAAATACTTACAAGTGTTAAAGGAAAGGTTAGTTTTAATAATTGACACCCGATGACACTCTGTCCAAAAATACTATAAAACTGATACTATCATCATCATCAGCTCACTATACGTCCCCACCGAGGGGCTCGGAGCCTACCCTAAGTTAAGGGTGACCAGGCCATAGTCAACCATAGCCCAGTGCGGGTTGACTTCACACATATCTTTGAATTTCTTCTCAGATATGTGCAGGTTGCATCACGATGTTATCCTGCACTGTAAGAACGTCGGATAAATGTACGTATGTTAATCAAAAATCGACAAACACATTGATACATGTCCGGATTAGAACCCAGAACCTGTAGGTTATAAAGTTAATCCTGAGCCACCGACGCTTCAATTGATTCAGCCGTTTTTGAAGTAATTAATTAATTAAAAAAATTACCAAAGTAATTGATTAATTGACCAAATTAGAAATTAACTACAAGTCTAATTCCAGATCCTAAACAAAGAGGAAAGTCTAGATGCCAACGCAATATTAACTTGGACATCTAACTCTGAGTACAAGAATGTAGACAACGTGTTGTCATACAAATGGGATGTGAACGGCTCGAAACATGTTGACTATACTCTCACAACACCTATTTATAAAGAACCAACGTTTAATATCAAAGGATCTTATCAACAAGACATGATACATAACTATCAAGTTCTCAAGTAAGTTTTAAAATTTAAGTTGGCACGTCGCGCAGTAGTCTACACATGTTTCCGAAGTGCCAATGCTCACTAGTGAAAGTATCCCTACAATTTTTTTACATCTACTTTTAATTGAACTCTTAAATTATGTTAGTAGAACCATCAAGTGTTAATGTATGTATGTATCTTAAATTATGTATAATATACAGCCTCCATTATGCTATATTTTTTTTTTGAAATTGTGAGATTTACCGTTGATTTCTAGGACTTAAATCTCTGTATAAATCATTTCGTCATCCCTGTCACTTGACAAGGACACACACCTTTGACAAAACAGAGATAATAATATATTTCAAATAGAGATTTTGGTCTCAGAAACCCATGGTTACCGTTTTATTTAAAATTATTTACGAATTTACTAGTTTTCTTGTATGATTTTTTTTATTTAATGTTCAGTTGTATTGTTGAAAATATTTAAGGAATACGACATTGAAGTAATATAACACCTAATCCGAACGTAGTTAGTTTACAATGTAACGTTTGCAGGGGCACAATGTACAGTCCGGGACACAGTCAGATCGGAGAACTGGATTTAAGGTACGGCGGCGCGCAGCATACAGACGGACATTTTAATTTCTCTACGCCATTCAAACGATTGCCCTGGCTCAAGTCTATATTTGATGTAAGTATCATCTTGTTCTCGCTAAATCCATACTCAAAGTTGTTTAATCGTCATTTAAGTCAACATCAGTCTAATAACATGAACCTACACTCAAAGTTAAGTCCCTACGATTCAGAGTGATTAAGTATTCACTAAGGAAACCTCTTAGTGTAGTGATTAGCAATCGTGGCAGTCAATGTATGGAATTCAATTTATGAATTAAAATCTTTGTATAAAATATACTGTAATCCCTGTAATTATCTTAGACAAAACAGAAATGATAATATGTTTTATACGAGAATTTTGGTCTCAGAAACCTACCACCAACCAAAAAGGTATTACTTTTTTCAGATCAACAATTTAGAAGAAAAGTCAGATAACAAAGTAGACTTATTCTGGCCAAATAAAACTGCATCAGTGAACACATCTCATGTTTACACTAAACAAGAGAATGGTTTCACACAAACTGGAACAATATCACTTTCAGTTCCATTGAGCAGTCAACATTTAGTCAATACCGAGTATTATTATGTACAAGGTGATAAAGCAAGCAATGGAAATGCTACAATTGACTTCGATCATGAACGATTCGTTAAAGGTTCCTTCGTTCAAGTGTTAAGTAAGAGTGAAAGGAATTTGGACCTTGCTACCACTGACATAGAGGTGGAAAATGTACATACACCAGTCGGTGTTAAATATATACATGAGTTCGATAGTACAGGAAACATCGTAAGTATATTATTTATCTAAGTGCATTTCTGTAGCTTCTAAACAATTCATCAATTTACATAGTTGACCATAAACAAGAATTTACATACGTGTGAAAGAGACAGACATATACAGGGGAAAGAGACAACGAATGTAATTGACAAATCATCTCACTAACTCTAGTATTTTGATTTCTAAAACATGTCGGTTAGTTATAGCGGGATGCAAGGGGAGGGAATTGCGCAGCGCAGATGACCTTGAACCCCTTAGTAACTAAGCTTTTACCAGATAACTAAATATATAAATTATCTGATCTTTTCACAGGACGTAAAACAAGCAACAGTATTCCACCTACAAAATGCTACAAAGTTCAACGTGACTGGCAAACTGGATGTCTTTACATATAACATTGGTAAGAAGTTGAAGCTGACAGTGATGCACGGCCAGCGTACGTGGAGCTTCGATAACAAGTATGAGGCTCTAGAGAGAGAGCTCACCCAAGCTAGCCGCGTGCAGTGGGCTGAGGATGTATGGATACAATATGATGTACACGTTACTAATATGAGTGTGGTATGTATTTATATTTATACTAACTCTTTCCCGTGATTTCGTACTCGTGGATTTAAAAAACTTAAGTAGCATATGTGTTCTATCAGACTATGGTCTATATGTATGCTAAATTTCATCGAGATCCGTTGAGTCATTCTGGAGATACGTTCTAACAAACATCCATCCATCTAAACTTTCGGATTTATAATATTAGTAAGATTAAGACGTATATTGTAGGAGGACACAGAAAGCCAGCAAATACTACTAAACGTACAATATCCGCTGCGTACATTCTCACTGGACGCATTATACCGTCTGCAAGAAGCACTACTGGAAGGTCGCGCGCAGCTGCACTGGGACGTGCGCGGAGACAACAAGAGTGCGGAGCTCTCCGCACTCTGGGACACGCCCCCCGCAGACACCGACTCCGACACCGCGGTACACAACGTGCATCTCGCTCTCTCACATCCTTCATTCAGGAAGGTAAGAGCAGTACAACACTATGTTACTAAATTACGTGAAATACACGCAGGTTGTGTAGTTGCCGAAATCAAGTCTTAAAACTAGCTACTGAAGTACGAAGGAATACTATAATGTATAGGAAGAGATAGACAGAGAAGGAGAGGAAGAGTGAGACAGAGACAGATAGTTTTAGACTATAAAGTTTGAAAAAATTAAATAAAATATTATGGTCAATAAAGCACCTTAAAGTATAGAAATTCTTAAATACAAGTGTATTTAAGAATTTCCATGAAGTTCCAAAGTTTTTTCATGATTCATATTATAAGTCGAATCCGATAAGAAAGTATCAATTTCACGTCCAAGTAATATGATTTCTTTGTTTCCTTCAACTTATTAATATGAAAAAAAAGTTGAAAAAATCCTCGAGAACTTCAATTACATTTGTTCTCAAGCATACAAATATAGCTAAATAATTTAATTTTCAGGATGTGGTGCTAAAAGGTCAATATCTAGCAACACCAGCAGTCATGTCAAACATATCTGTGGAATTGCAATACTCCGACTACGAGACGGAATATCTGAAACTACATTCAATATTAATGGATAACTCTAACGGACCAATACGTGATTACAAATTCGCTCTAACATGTACACATCCGTCTACAAACTTAGCTCTAGATGTGAAATCTGATATAAATATACATAGTAGATGGTACTATTTGGAGACATTTTATAGATTTCAGAAGTCATTGTTCTATGAGAAGTTGAGACGGAACAAAATGTTAATCGATTTGAATACAAGCGCTGTTAATTGGGAGGTAATTATTTAATATTATTATTTATCTGACTAACAGTAGTGTTCTGAGACCAAAATCCTTGTATAAAACATATTGATATCACTGTTTTGTTAATATAATATTGGATAATGGAATATTGGTCTCGGAAAGCAACGATAAAAAGTTTGATACGTTCAATCGGACTTTTAAAAACGTTAAATTTTTAAATGAGTCCAGTTACTGCCTCAGAAACTTTATTTAAGCAGTACCGTAGTGTATATTGTTTTTATTTATTTTTTCTCATGTACTCTCATAGTAAACATTAAATAACTCAGCGTTAGTTCGTTTTATATTCATAAGTAAAGATAAAGTTTATTTTAGTAACCAATTTACCTAAGCTATTATTCAATACGAGGCTTTTTTACTCTTTTATTGCAAGATACAGGGTGTCCTTTTTTCCCTAAAAGTCCTAAGTTAAATAATTATCTATTTCCAGCGCGCTAACGAGACATATTTCTACAAAGTGAACGGCTCATGGGAGCTGATGTATCCTGCATACAAACTGAAAGGTCTTGTGTTACATCCTGAGGGCAATGACACCGCGTACGCAGAGTTATCTATGACAAATAAATCATTAATCGGTCATTATAATAGTACTAATGGTGAGTTTATATTTATTATTATATAGGAATACTATAGTTTTGTTGTCTGGTAGTCATTAATTTAAAAAAAATGTAAACAGCGCCATCTATCGGTTGTATGAATTTAAATCACATTCAAATACAAAATATTTTTTACAATCTTTCCAGAAATATTATTTGCTTTTAAGAATAATCTTAGTTTTGTTTAGTTTAGGAGTGTTTGCTGTAAAAGTTATAGAATCCAATGACAATTTAGTAAAAAAAAATTACAAAGGACAGGACCGGGCATTGTGGCAGTCGATGGGGGAGGCCTACATCCAGCAGTGGATAAATCTAGACTGATTATGATTGTGAAACAAATTAGTACTGCTTACTTAAACTTTTCTTTTTTTTCAGATATTTCATACCATTTAATTGGAAAAATCGTCGACACGAGATCCGCGAAACTGAACGCGTGGCGTGACTTTGATGACGTCACCACTGTCGACCTGGCTTCATACATTCGCTTGAACCATTCTAGACTTCTAACCAGCTCCGTAGTATGGCGGCCGCAGATATTCAGCGAAGTTAAATCCCAAGCTGTCTACACTCTAAAATTACTTTACGCTCAAATCAATGAAACCCTTATCATTATAAAGGAAGCACCAATGGAAGCACATCTTGCTTTAAGAGCTATATGGGTAGATGCTAAACCGAGAATTAGAGATTTCCTCGACGATTTGAACGATTTACACGTAATTAAAGACGATTTGGATGAATTTGAACGATTTTTAAACGAATCTTATGATAATAATGATTTTTATGTCAAAGATATAGTCGAATTCACATATTACGTGCTCGATGAAATGGCTATAAGAAATCATTTGGAAAGTTTGCCCGGTTTCGTTAATGACATGTGGGGAATGATGGGCAATACAAGTCAATCTATAAAACAAAGTCTTACTTATGTTGTTGATTCAATCAAAATGGCGTATTCAAATTTCTTAGAATCGGCAAATAAGATATTAGAAGCGGATTTCATGGAATTAGTGTCTGGGAAATTGGAAACGATGATTTTACAATATGATAACTTCGTAAGGGATTTACATATGAGGTTCTTAGAGTACTGGGAGGTTACTTGGGTGAATGCGACAAACAGACTGTCAGTTTATTGGCATGATTTACTAAAATCTATAGAACCGTTGTTTTTCAAAGTGTTACATTATACGGAGTCATTTGTGTTTACTGTATGGAAAGGTCTTATGGATTTCTTCTATAATAGGACTCAAGAATTAACAGATTCTCCTTATTTCAATTATGTATCAACATTTGGACATGAAATGGACCGGTAAGTAAGATAATTACGATTTTTTTTTATCATAGCAGTGTAAATTAACAACAAAATGAAAGTACAACTTGAAATAGGTAATGTTTTGGAAGAGATGGTTTTTTTTTTACTGAAAATGTTTTTGAGGTGATTGTTTTTATATAATGCTTTAAATATTTACTAATAATTACGAATATTTGAATGTATGGATGGATGGATGTTTGAAGATATCTCCGGAACGGCTGCATGGATCTCGCTAAAATTAAGTATACATGTAGAACATAGTCTGAAAGAACACATAGACTACTAATTATTTTTCAATTCCTCGCGGCCGGAGTCACAGGCGACAGCTAGCCATTTATAAATTTAAAAATGTGTTTTCAGAATATACAAAGACCTCGTGAACAATGATTTGATAACGAACATAAAGAAATATAGCAAGAAACTATGGAACGTTGTCTGGGAGAAAATGGAGAAATACATTCCGTTTAAAGATGAGTTCAAACAACTGTACGCAGAGTTTAGGAACGCTTGGGAAAACTTTATGAAGACACCGCAAGTTGTATATGTCAGAGAAAAGGTAATTTTCTTACGATTAATATACCAGATATTTAGAATGTAAGAGACAGTAATATTCTGCGAATTTTGGTAGCGACTCTCTTTTTTTTTTGTTTGACACATTTAAAACTTAAATTAAACCCACTTCCAGTTGTCAGATTTTTATGAATTTTCAAACACTTTTGTGCTGGTAAAATAATTTAATTCTGTTTGTTAACGAAATCATTTATCAATTAAATTAATCTTACATAATTAAATGAGAATGTTTGTATGGATGGATGTTTGTTAGAAGGTATCTCCAGACTGGGTAGCATGGATATCGATGAAATGCAACACAGTATATAGAATGTAAAACATAGTCTAGATGAACACATAGGTTACTATTTTTTTTTGTACGGACGGAGTAGCGTGCGTCAGCTAGTTTTTTTATATTTATCGTGTTACAGTACAAGGAGGCGTACGAGCGTCTGAAGTGGTGGTACGATTACTTCATGCTGGGTGAGGCGCTGCAGCGAGCCGGCAGCGTGCTCTACGCCAAGCTCACTGACATGGCCAAGACTGCGCTCCAGTATGAGGAACTGTCAGTTTATTTATTATTATTTTTAACCTATTTTTAAAAATATGTCATTAAATTCAATTAATATAATGTAATTTGTGAGTGTATCTGGCGCTTCAGTTGGCACGTCGAGTAGAGGAGTACTCTTGTTTCTGACGTGCCAATTTAAATATCTATCTATCCTTTACTACTTTCATTATTTATAACAACAAAAAATTAATGTTCAGCCTATAACTGTTGGTTTCTGAGACTAAAATTTTCTGGATAAAACATATCATCATCGCCGTTATTATGATATGAATTGGGATTTTGGGCTCGGAAACCTACGGCAAGTAAGTTTATTGAAGTTATTCAATTAAAAAAAACAGAAACAACCACAGTTTAAAATCAAGATCACTGGAGTCAGTATTTTACATGTATATGGAAATTAAATATTGAAATTAAATTAATAATTATTTTATTGTATTCCGCGACATCAAACATACAAACTTAAGACTTCATAATCGTGTTAAAGTAGACAAGCTATTAGTAATAAGTAGTTACGTTTTGTACTGTTATTGTCCTGTCTAAACATATATTTAATATTTACAGGCATCGTACACCTAAAACAAACTTCATATTCGATCCTCGTAAAGGCGAGATACGTCTTGAACAGAAGCTGCCGATGTCATGGCACGCGTTCAACCGCACGCCTGACTTCTCTGAGATATCGGAGTACCGCGCTGTACGAGATTTCCTTGACGACTGGATTACTTCTAACAGAACTATATGGTCATATTACTATGAGATAAGACCATATATGGATTTGAATAATGTTATGCCACCCTTCGCAGGTTTGTAGTTGTTTATGAATTTAGTTAAAATCAGTATAATAACTTAATAATATTATAAATGCGAAAGTTTAAATGGATAGATGCTTGAAGGTATCTACAGAATGGCTGCATGGATCTCGCTGAAATTAGGCATAGATGTAGAACATTTCTGTGGGAACGTATAGGCTACTAATTAAGATTTTTTTCTGCGCGGACGGAGTCACGGGCGACAGCTGGTATTGTCATAAAAATTTGATTAATAGCCAAGGCTATCTGAATCGGTGAGCGTAAGTCAAACTAAATTCTGACAGCTCACTAGCGCCCTCATGTCGATGTCAAGAAATGTCACAATATCCTCTTTTTAGTGTGGTTATTTTTTCTTTAGTGATTTTCTAGAGCTGTGTTACTTGTAGGTATGGCAATGATGACGGGTCAAGGTACACTGGTGACGTTCGACAAGCAAGTCCTCACTATAACAGAGACGGGCACCTTCCTACTGGCCAAGGACTACAGGCAGAACAACTTTACCGTACTGATGCAGAGCAACGAGCACGGACTGTACGACCTTGTTGTACTGACTAACAGACATTTGATATACGTTGATTTGTATAAAGAGGTGAGTACAATGCTACTCTATGTGTTACACTGACTGTTTCTAATTACTTTACGTTTACGTTCAAAATGAAGATTTAGATTTTCTAAGCCAAAGACCACTTATTCCTTGTTATATTTCGTAGTTATTTTGACTATCTCTATTTATATTTTCATTCCGTTTTATGTCATAATTGTATGGATTAAATAAAATGTAATGTAATTTTTGTACCACTAAAGAATTAAATCATGTAGTGACTTTTTGATTAATTTTCTACCTTTTATTAAATATACTGACCAGTATAAATGGACTGGCTATTAGACGTAGTGTTTTGTGCCCATTTGATTTTTGCCATTTTGTCGGTGTTGGTTGCAGTTTGTAGCTGGTATGAATTCGAACTAATCATTTAGATAGAATAAACTGTCACGTAACATCAACAGGCGCGTTTAAATCGGAGCAAAGCAAAAGTTATCATATCCAATCCAATTATAGAGATCAATGAATATGACCCTTGAGGTGATTTAAATTAATATCATACTAAACTTTCATAGCAAGTATCACTCGGACCTGACACTCCACTCAGTCTGCCTGCTGTAGTAGAAGATTTCATAGTGCACAGACAGACAGACCTGCTGATTGTAGAAGGGCAGAGCGGACTTGAGATACAATGCAATCTGTTGTTCAGAACGTGCAAGCTGCAAGTCTCGGGTGAGTTGTCTTCAAAGGTCTAACCTATAAAAACTTTATCTTTCATATTTTTAACAAACAATCAGAGCACTTTACCATGAAATCTTACTGATATTATAAATGTGAATGTTTAGATCGATGGATGGATGGATGTTTGTATGAAGGTGTCTTTGATCTCGCTGAAATTTGGTATAGATGTAGAACATAGTATGGAAGAACACATAGTCGCGGGGACGGTGCCTCGCGCGACAGCTAGTTTACAATAAAAGCGTTCTAATCATCGTAGGAACGTGTCTCAAAATCTTTTAACCTCAATAAATACGCAATATTAGTTACCAATATTACATTTGTTTCCTAATTATCAATTTACTATACAATGTGTAACAAGAATAAACTTGTCAGCTTTACTACAATGTAATGTTGTCAGGTTGGCACTACGCATCACTGGGCGGATTACTCGGCACCTACAACAACGAGCAGTACGACGAGCGTCAGTTACCGGATGGTACCCTGCGTGCTGACGTCACACAGCTCGCGACCGCCTGGCGACTGCGCCCCGCCCCCTCGCCCGCAGGCCCCGCCCTCCGCGTCCGCCCCCAGGACAACGACACGCAATGCGACAAGTTCTTTAGGAATAAAGTCTCGCCGTTGCATCCCTGCTTCTCTGTGGTAATTATACATCTGGCTTACATTATGCCAGTACAGTTAGACAGTGGCGAAGGCTTAGCTTGGACTCACTTGCGCTAGTTTGTCTTTACATTTGGCCAGTTGTATACCAGCGCTGATTTTTGTTTTATCTATTAATGTGGACTACACTGGGTTCAGTAGTGTTATTTAGTCTAGTTGTTTTGAAGGTATTCTAACATAAACGTGAACCGAAATATAATAGACTAAAGCTCTCTACTTTCATAGTGTTAGGAAGAAAATCCGACACTGTTGCGGTGTACCGGCGCAACACTAGGCTTACTAAAATGTCGACATTTATGTCCCCTCACTATTCATTCTGACACTGGACTTTGTAACGAATGCACGTCATTCGCGTCAAGTGATTCTAACTAATTATGTCTAAAAATAGTGATGGGTTTATTTAATATGATACTTATTCCAGATCGATGCTCAACCGTTGTACGCGGAATGCGTGCGCGGAGTGGACGCGTGCGCGCTGGCGAGCGCGTACCTAGAGCTGTGCTCACAGCAACACGTTCCAACACATATACCCGACCATTGCGTACAGTGAGTATTTCTGCTGCACTCTGAGACATTGATCACTAAGGGACACCCTTAGTGTACATTTTTTATTCTGACATCTTAGTTGCAAACTTTTAGATGGATGGATGGATCGATGTTTGTTACTAGATATCTCCAAAACGGCTGCATGGATCTCAATAAAATTTGACATAAATGTAGTACATAACCTGGAAGAACACATGGACTACTTTTTTTTAATTCGCGCTTGAGTGCTAGTTTATTTATATATGTTTTCCTATAGATGTACGACAAGCCAAGGCGATGTGGTAGAGGAAGGATCATTCGTGCAGTTGGACCATCCGCCTAACTCTACAGATGTGGTGTTCATCATAGAAGCACAGTACTGCAACAGAAATCTGCGGAAAGCGAAGAATATTGATCTATTCATAGAGGCATTTGATAGTAAATTACAAGGCAATGGATTCTCTGATAATAGGTATGTAAATTATAAAATTGACAGTCTATATGTCTCTAACTTTGGATATGACTTCTAATCGTGGGTTTCTGAGACCAACATCCACGTTCAAAACATATTGTTATTTCTGTTTTCAAAGATAATGACAGGGTTGATGTAACACTGGTATTTGGGTCTCAGAAACCAACGCTAAATCACTGAAGACGTTTTGGTTAATTGACAACAAATGGAAGGATAACAGTATTTACTCTCGTTTACATAAGTTCAACTGCATATGAAAGTTTTTGTTTTAATGTAGCTATTTATCTACTTATTTTTACTAATATTACAATTTGTATAGATATGCAGTAGTTGTGTACGGCGGGAGTGGGGTGTACCGCGAGCCGCGCGCCCTCTACGTTGACAACCAACTATTCGCGGATGCTGTTGATGTACCACGCCACTTTGATGCCTTCCACATCGGTATATATATTGTTATATTACCTCTATTTACTTTTTAATTAAGGTAAAGTACCCGGTTTTTAGTTTGAACATGTCTAATAAAATGCTGATGAGGTTTTCAAATATCTTGTCGGTTTGGAATTTCGCAGAACACAATGTCAGCAGATGACCTTGAGCCACCATGATATTTGAATAGACGTATACACTGACCTTTATACATAGACATGGACGGGCTACAAACTATAATATTTTGTGCCTATTTGATTTTCGTCAGACTGTCAGAAACTTCAAAACTGTTATTTCTATGCAATCATCATGTTCCCCTCCCCATATAATGAGCTGATGATGATGTTCCCCTCCCTCCCCTCATCCCCTTGGTGACCCCTATCCACCAATCCATTTATAGAGATGGGTGGATGTATACAAGAGATGTAATATGTGAACAGATAAAGCGGACTCAGTACGTAACGAGAGCTCTTGTCGTGCGGACGCATTTGCCGCGCTGAGGTTCGCCAGCGCACTCCCATTGCGTCCGGCGGTTCCACGCGCACTCATCTTGCTGCCTTGTGACCGGTGTGATGCCGCGGCTATGTCGGTACGTATACACGACAATACACAGTGAAACATACGTGTCCACTGAGGAGCTCGGAGCCTACCCTAAGTTAGTGACTAGGCTATAGTCAATGCTGTCTTAGTGAGGGTTGACCTCAAAGGATCCTCGCTTATCCAAGTTTAACTGGACATATTAGGTGTCACTTTTAGTCTCATTGACAAAATACAGACTTCGATGTCTTACTTCTTACTAATATTGTAAATTCGAAAGTTTAAAGGGATGGATGGAAGGATGTTTGTCAAAGGATTTCGCTGAAATTTGACATAAATATAGAACATAGGCTGGAAAAACACATTGGACTACTAATTAAGTTTTTTTAACATCTCATCAAATGCTACAATTACATTTGAAGTAGTAATAAAATGCTTTTGTACATGATCTATTTTTTTTTTAGTTTAATAATAGGAGGATTAATTTTTATAATTATATTTACAGCTCGACTATTCAACGATATACCACAATCTGATGGAGAACTCCGTCACTTTACACATTCTTATGAACGATGAGTTCACATTGTCCAAGAAGAGGGTCGCTAAATATTTGTTTGGTAGGTTATTCTTTATCTTACTAATATTATAAATGCGAATGTTTAGATGGATGGATGTTTGTTAGAAGGTGTCTGTAGAACGTCTGAATGGATCCCTCTGAAATTTGGCATAGATGTAGAACATAGGCTGCTAATTACTTTATAAACATATCGTCATCCCTGTCTTTATATTTGACAAAACAGAAATAACAATATGTTTTAAATAGGGTTTTTGGTCTCAGAAACCCACAGTTAGTAGCACCGTTTCAAGCTGATATTTTAATGTTATTTGAATGTTTTAGGTGTGGACAGTACATTAGCATACACCAACAAAGACTATGAACGTCTGGTCGGTGACTTCGGATTAAGAAAACAAGTCAAATTGCCTAAAGACAAGCTCGGAGTCTGCATCTCACTTGCTATGGAGACCAATGGTGATATGATAATGTCTAATGCAATAAAAAACCTATTTAATTTATATTTTAGATTTCTTATGCATAGTAACTCAACCAAGATTGATAACCTTCAGATCAGCTCACATATATGAAAGATTTACATGTATGAAAGAGATCTATGAATCGGCTCATAGCTCAACTTAATTTATATTATTTATGATTTGCGAGTCACCAGGCTCGTGGCTCATTGGCTCACATATAGAACATCGCAATGAAGCATGAGCTGCTAATTTAGTTATTGAACAGTTCAATAGTTTAACTCTTGTGAGTTGAACTTATGAACCGATTCAGTGATTTACACACGTTTAATAACATAGTATATTATTCAGGCACAGTATGGGCTGGTGCTAAGCTATCCGGAGAGCGCGGTGCTGCACGTCGCTTCGCTACTGTAGTGGGGTCGCGTGTGGCGCGCTCCGGCCGCGCCTGCGCATCCGCGCGCTGCGAGTGCCGCGCCGCAAGGCTGCACTGCAGACCTTGTAGACCTGATAGAGATCCTGTTAGTATCTGCTGATATAAAAACCAATGTCCGTAATCAACAGCTCGCTATACGTCTCCATTGTGGGGCCCAGAGCCCAACTTAAGTTAGAGCTTATTACCACGCTATCCCAGTACGGGTTGATTTCACATATATCTTTGAATTTCTTCTCAGATATGTGCATGTTGTATCACGATGGTTTCTTTCACCGTAAAAACGTCGTTAAAATTTTATTATGTATGTACATCAAAAATCGAAAAACACATTGGTATACGGCTGGATCCAGTGTACCAACGTTTTAAAAAACTAACAAACCAATCAACACAACACCATGTCGCCAAAATATTAATAAACAATATGCCAAGATTCGGGTGTTCCCACGTGGGCTCAAGGGAAATTTGTATTTTGGTGCTATGCACTCAAACAACCTAATAAAAAATGTATTTCAGCTGGCCGATCGACCTACCGATCAATCGGCCAAATAGAAATAATTTCTGATTGTATGGAGTCAAATTTCCCATATGGCCGATTGAACGGCCGATCGGCCCAACAGGAGTAATACTTAATATTTCAATACGTCGCACGTTACACAACATATTTGATGTTGAGTTTCCTGCGAATACATTGTACGACAAGATTTCACATCAGTGGAAGCCAATAATAACATTCTCGTCATTTGTATGTCAGTTGGAGTTATCGTTCTGGAACACGGAGGACATCGACGAGCTGATAGACCTCGCCATGGATCCACCAAACCTGCCATCGTTCAGATGACGCGCACAAACACGCCCTGTAAATATCCTAGTTTCAATTCTAGTAGTTTGATTATTGTAATAATAAAGTATTTTTTACACAATTTTCATATATTTTTATTTATACCCTCCTAGGTAACAGGTTCACATTTCAAAAAAGTAAGACGGCTAGATTGGACGGCAAAGTCACTAGAGTGAAAGTGGGGCCACCATACAAAAATATATATTTATCCCCTTTATTGTTTATGTGAAAACAGAATACACATAATAACATATTTAAGCGTTGGTATCTGAGCCAGAAATTACTGTATAAAACATATCGTTATCCCTTTGACAGAATAGAGATAATATTTTGGTTTAAACCCACGGTACTGTTTTTATTAAAACAATTATATTTATTGGATTTTATATTTCTAAACAATTACCTTTTACACAACTGATTCGACGACTATGTCGAAACTGAACATTAAATGAAACACAATTTCAACTTTTAAATATACATTTAAAAGTTGTTTCCCCTAAAATGTGAGTGTTGCCAGTGCAGGAAGAAGAATACGACTTTGTTTTGGTAAAATATCTTTACATATTTTTAGCGAAACTAGGGGAGACCATACAGATACGATCCATTTTACGGTATTCCGTGTTCCTGTGCTTGATAGCATGATACTGTATCTATGGTTCAATTTGACATGACAGCCTGTAGCGTCTGTGGCATTGGTTATGGTATCGGCTGTCAGCTGTCACTGTCAGAATAGCTTGTCCGTTGTCGTTTTTTCGTTTAAAATCGTACTAAACAAAATATAGCGTCTTATAAGTTTTATCAAATATTTACATACTAGGATAAGTCAAAAATGCAAAAAACGAAAAAGAAGAGAGGTGAAGAAGAACCCATGGAGGTGGATGATAATTCTGCGGCGAATCATAATGGTGAACCAAGCGGTAGTAACGGTCATGTGAATGGAGATATTGATCACATTTCTGATGATGAAGAAGGCGGTGTTCGCATTGGAGACATTTACATACCGCCAGCGCCTAAACCGGCACTTACTTTCGATGCTAATGGTCCAAGGTTAATAATAACTCGTATTGTAAACGAAAACTTTAAAAGTTACGCGGGAGTACAAATTTTAGGCCCATTCCACAAGGTAATTTTTTTTTTATCTTAATAATAATCATTAATTGAGTGACTGTATTAAGTAAAGTGGTAATAATGAAAAAAACAGCCAAGAATAACTGCGTAGCTTTTGCACCTCAAAAAACTACATAAGTCTTCTTTTCCTTTTCACTATATTTTAATAAGAACAGGATGAGGAGTGAAGATAGACTTATTTGAGTATATCGCACCCTTTCTATGGCATTCTACTTTGTATAATAAATGTATACAAGGCTATTTAACAGAAGACTATCGGTAGCACAGACTTCTTTATGTAAATATATGATTGGATTAAAAATAAACTATATTTTCCATTCAAAAAGCTTTTTCTTCATAAATATGTGTTAATTGTAGACCCTAGTCTCTTTCCGATACTTGTTTTGTTTTAATAATCTGATGTGTTTTTCTGTTATTTATAACCAATGTTTTTTTAGAGTTTCACTGCAATAATTGGCCCAAATGGAAGTGGTAAGAGTAATGTGATCGACTCTATGCTCTTTGTTTTTGGTTACCGAGCCACAAAGATTCGTTCTAAGAAGATTTCAGTACTGATACATTCATCAAATAAGTTCTCCAATATAACAAGTGCTAGTGTTGCGGTACATTTCTGTCAAATTATTGATGGGGTAAGTCATCACAATATATACTACTCCTCCATACATCTCTATCAGCTGTCATATTTGAAACTACCCCCTTTCACACAATCCATCCATACTTTCTTTACCTTTGTAGCCATCCACATTCAATCTCATTACATTGATTGGGGTGTTATTTTATGTATTAGTTGTTTTGTTAGTTCTCAATATTTTAGTTGAAATAGAACCCTAATACAATGACCAAGAAATCTGATTGTATTCAAATTTTATATACACACAATTTTTTGCACTACTTTTAGTTAGTGAGTTTGTCTTTAAAATGCATTAAATAAAAAATGTTTTTTAAAATAAGGCTTTTGTTCCTTTAATTACAAAGTCTTGAATTTAGAATTTAATAGTAAATAAATTTCTCCAATTAATGATATTATACAGAATAAAATTATCGTAGATTTTTTCATAGCATTTCTTTATATGTTTTATTTATTTTTTATCTATACACTCACAATTAATCACAACATACAGTGTTTGTTAGACCCAATGTTGCGCGCATTTCATGTTGCATATACTGGGGTATATATGTAGATTACTAGCATAGACTGTTGGTCCAGGACAACACATGCAGTCTAAGTGGTGTTTCGCAGTTGCCCATTTTGCATTATCGATCATTGCAATTGAAATTAATGAATAAATTAATCACAACTTTGACTGATCAGATGTAAGCAATGAATTTAACATCGCTTAGTCTTCATCAAACAGTCTTCATTCTCCGTGAAACAGCAAATCACAGTATGTATTGTATTAACCATGGGTTTCTGAGACAAAATCTCTGTATAAAACATTAGACATTCCTCTTACTATCTTTGACAAAACAGAGATAACAATATGTTTTAAGTATGTGTTTCAGTGTAGGTTTTGATTCTTGCGAGTTTGAAAATATGCGGCTTAAATTGATTTTTTTTTATTGCCTTGACATAGAAATTTGATTAATATTTAAAACTAAAAAAAAAACTATAATAATAGACCTGAGTATTTGATTTGAATTTAAATTTATTACCTCTAAGGCGTTCATAAGGAAAAGGGTATTATGTTCAAAAAATTATTAAACAAAAAATTTACAGTTTTCAAGTTAGACTGATATATAAACACGGCTAAACACTCACGTATATTCGTCCGGTGGCGGCACCGACTAGTTTCGAGCCCATCGGGGGCCCTTCATCAGGATGAGTGGTACTGGTATTATTTCGCGGACGCGGCCTGTCGCTCATTGCGCGCCTGCGCTCTTAGGGCGCGTCTTGAGGGGGCGGGGGGCGCGGGTTGCGCCGGCGTCGTCGACGATGTTGATACCAAAGCGTTGGTGGTGTAGTTGTTCAAGTTTCGGTGCCGCCACCGGACGAATATACGTGAGTGTTTAACCGTGTTTATATATCAGTTTAGTATAATGTCTCACGAAAGTTTGAATAATTTAATTTTTAAATTAGATGTAGAAATGTCCGTATGTACAAACTTGGTACAAGATAATGTATGTTAATGAAACAAATAAACTTCAATGATTTGTGTTTAAAAATTTATTAAATTTGATATGATGAATTTTGAAAAGTAAACATCGAAATTGATTACATGGAGTTAGGGAATATAGATTTTTCTAGAACTTTTGCAATCATTTTTCATATAATGCATATGCATTGTTCAACAAATTTTCCGTTTTAATGATTTGTTAAAAGGCACGGTCCGTCGTACAAGACGTAAAGCTTCTGACGTATCCAATTTTGTGCGCAATTCATGTTGCATACGCCGCTGTACGTGTGATAGTTACTGGCACACACGGGAGGACCTGGTGCACACATGCATGTGAAACCTCTGGGCGGTGTTGTCCATCTACTTTCTGCCGCGACAATAAGAACTGCCACTGAAATCATACATTATTTATGTTACTGGCAAATCGCGAATGCGGTCCATTTGTAATTTGTCTAGGGCTAAGAACTACGTTTTTGTATACTTGAAATTAAATTCGATAATTTATTTATATTATCGTAATGGAGACTTCTACATTTACTATTAATAGATTTCGCCCGCGACTTTGTCTACGCTGAATTAAAAAATAACTTAATAAGTAGTCCCGTGGTCTTCCATACTATGTTTTGTATATATTCCAAATATCATCGGGATCCGCTAAGCTGTTCGGGAGATACCTTCTAACAAACCTCCATTCATCCATCTAAACATTTGCAGAGAAATATTTTCAGCCAAAACCTTGATAAATTCAATATTTTCGATGACAAATCTCTTATGTATAATGTAAGATATAAAATAAATATCACGCTAAGAGGATAGCCAGAAAATATGGATTTTTTATTCACTTTATAAAAAACTATTAGTAGTTTAACAGTGGTAGGGCCCGCTTTAACCTCTTCACACGAATTGGCCCGGCTCGCCCGGTGCAATACCACGACCACACAGAAGACAGGCGCGAAGTAGAAGCAATTCTGCGTACAGTCTGACGAGTGTAATACCGGAGGCCCAATTTTAGATCTCTTTCCCTTCCCACCCTTTTTCTTATAAGTATGAGAAATGGAAGTGCATTATCTGAATGAGGGGTTGCATGAGAATTGAAAATATTCGATTAGAGTTAGGCAAAGCATATGCAATTGCATATGTCTATAAGCAAAGGTCGCTTCGCTACTTTAGCGATTCCAGATGGCCACTTGCTCTTTTACCACCTTATGATATAAAATAAATAATAATAATACATTGAAATATAATAACTTACGAATTAATAAACACAATTTCATCTTGAATTTGAATTTGTTGCTGAAAAAAATCTATGAATAACCGCCTTTTTATAACTGAAAGAAAATTCTTATCTTGTGTTTTTCGCGGTTATTATAACAAACAACATATTATAGTTTTGTAAAGTTACGTTTTATTGAGAAAACAGGAAATTTATTTTCCTCGTTACTGTAATATTACCTATTTAATAGTTACCTGTGTAATCAATATAGAGTTGTTACCTCGAATCATATTTTGTAATAATAGTTGTCAACGCCTTATTAGTGTTTCTTTTAAATTGATTATTAGATTTTCATTGTTCAGCAGTTTGAATTATTAATGCAATAGACCAGTGGTTCTCAAACTTATTTTGTCTACTGCCCACTTTGAGAATAAATATTATTTTAGCGCCCCCATATTTTCACATATTTAAAAACCACTATAACTTCAAATTAAATTAATTAATTATTGTTGTTGAGAGTCGAGAGTTCATGCAGTCGTTGTCTAAGAGGCACCCCAGGCGTCTACACAACGCTTCCATTTTCTTTCTGGGTCTCCTGCAGCGCCCACAAGGGGGCGTTATCGCCCACTTTGGGAAATACTTCAACAGACCAATCGCAATTATAACTATTCTCTCTATTAAGATCTACGACTTAAAATTTCATACGTTTTTTTTATTTAATTCTTAAGAGATCGAGTTGATTGAATTGTATTTGAAAATTATATAATTTCGACAAAAATAATTCTTATTTTTGTTTCCCCATACATTTTTTTTACATAAATCACATGATGTATTGGCCAACTATTAAAAATAATAGTATTAGACACGTTTCGTTCTAGAACTAATTGTATATTAACTAATTTTATACTAATTTTAGCCTAATTATTGAACGTTAGTCTCGAGGTGATTCATTTTGCTTTTTTATTATTAAGATTTTTTTTCATAGTAAGAAAGAGATCTTATTGATATAAAGGGGTACATCGATAGGAATAGGCCTAGAATATGGATACATCGCGTGAAATATAACAGAATAGCTGTCGCTTGCGATTCCGTCCAAGCGGTAGGATAAGGTGGGAAGGGAAAGAGGACTAAATAAGGCCTCCGCGTAATAAAACGCGGAATTGCTTCCACTTGACGCCTGTCTTCTGTGTGGTCGTGGTATTTTACTGGGCGAGCAGGGCCTGTTAGTGCGAAGATGTTAAAGCTGGCTCTACCACTGTTCAGTTAGGAAAATAAGTATAGTGTAACGATAAATTATAGATCGATTTCGAAAGAGAAGCTTGTTTTGCCAACCCTATAGTAGAATAAGGACAGGGAGATAAAATGAAACAAAACATTGCATTTTTTATTTTATTGCCTTGTATAAAGTTTATAGTCCAGTTTACATTTTCCTTCGTGAAGCACAAACAGTTTTTGTTTGAGGAATTTGCTTGCACATATCATATTGCAAACCCCATCGTACGTCAGCAGATTGCTGGAACACACTGGCTTGCCCGGTCGGCAACTGCATTCAAAGTCTGGCGCTTTTGTCCACGGCGCCGCAAAGGTTATACCGATCGAAACTGTGGATTAAAAGCAAAAGGCGAATATGGTACGCAATTTGACGTTTCCTCTGTTTAGTTCACTTTGGCGTTGGATACCATATAGGAAAATAAATTAGATAATGTCTTACTAGTATTATAAATGCGATTGTTTGGATGGCTGGATGTTTGAAGCTATCTCCAGAACGGCTGAACGGATCTATATGAAATTTGGCATACATATAGAACATAGTCTGGAAGAACACATAGGCTACTATTTTTTTTTTAATTCCGCGCGGACGGAGTCGTGGGCAACATCTAGTAGGAAAATAAAACCACTGGAACTTAACAGTAAATATTTAATGATTACGATATGTTTGTTGAATCAAAATTAGAAACGTCAATAGCCTAATGGTTAAGAGTACGGGTTTCCAATCATGAGGTCGGGGGTTCGAATCCCGTCAATGGACTGCTGTCGTAAACCATGACCTAGCATAGAGCTTAGTTGGAATGGTACAAGAAATATTAGTAAATTATCAAAAATCAGCTAATATTTTAGTAAAAAAAAATCACGAGGCGACCATCAAGCCTCAACCAAAGATCGCCACGATGCTAGGTCCAACTTTGACCAGATAGTCGGTTATCTTGCCGGAAGCCTGTTGTTTAGTAATATCCTAAAAACTTATTAAATTATATTATTTAGTTAAATTTCACTTACGTAATATAACAATAAATAATTTCATTTTGAAATTTCTAACCTTTAATTTTTATTCAATGATTTTCAAACTCAAGTGTTCGATATATTAATAGTTTGATATTTTTCAATTACCAATTATTACGACAGGAAAGGCGTTAAATTGTGTACAATACAGTAATAAGTAAATAACATGTCAGTTTAATTTGTTAAATAAATTTATTGATGCGAATATTTTGCTCGTAAAATTAAAATAGATTATTAATTTTAAAAGTATTCTGAAATAATGTTTTTTTGTAAATTTAAATAACATAATTTTAATTGTGGTAAATGTACAGAAAAGTTTTTTGTCTCCTTTTCTTCAAAGGCAATGATAGGGAGAAAATATTTACTATACATTACATACCTTTTTAATTACACACACAGGTACATTAATTTATACAGGCTGATATTGACCAAGGAGGTCGTAAAGCTTTAAGTTATAAAAATATTTTACTTTATTATATATTTTATCTGTTGCAGGAAGGTGAAGACTTCACAGTGGTGCCCAACAGTGAAATAGTCGTGTCTCGTACAGCATTCAAAGACAACTCTTCGTACTATACTCTTAATGGCCGCAGGGTTCAGTTTAAAGAAGTCGCTAAAATGTTGCGTTCGCATGGAATCGATTTGGATCATAATCGATTTTTAATATTACAGGTATGACATACACATTTTCTAAGTGGGAAGGGGAAGATGTCAAGGAGTTGGCTTCCGGCACATACATACTGTTAGGAAGAAAATAACTAAAGCCTTACTAAAATGACGTTTGTGTCCTCTCTCTAATCATTCTGACACTAAACTTTGTAACGAACGCACGTCATTCGCGTCAAAGGATTCTACTTAGTAATGGTTAAAAATACACTAGTCCGGATGTACGTGGAATTACTTCCATTTGACGTCTGCCTTGTTTGTAATCGTGGTATTGCACCTGACGAGCGGGATATTCGTAAAGCAGCTTATAAGCAACCCTTAATAATCTTAAATATATTATAACTAAATACAAACGCTATTCAACTTACACATCAAGTCGGCACCGACTAGCGAATCCCATTCTCCCTAAAGAAGGGCACGATGGGCTCGAATCTAGTCGGTACCGGTTGGATGAAGTAAGTGAATGTAAGTGAGTTTTCCTTTTGATTTAGCTACCCTTAGTCTCACATATGTATAATTAGAACATTGTTAACTTGTTCAGGGCGAAGTGGAGCAGATCGCAATGATGAAGCCAAAGGGTCATTCGGAACACGAGTCTGGTATGCTGGAGTATTTAGAAGACATCATAGGCACCTCCCGGTATAAGGCAAGTAATATTGGATTGTTTAAATTGTAGTAAGTTTTTTGGCGGCTGACCTTGAACTGTACTCTGCAGTGCCTTTCCTTCGCATGCCTTTAACCCACACTACATCTAATATTGTGTTCTGCCTAGTTACTCGTGCAATGTTCCAGCCGACAAGATATTTGATACATGCTATCTTACTTGATCTTACTAATATTATAAATGTGAATGTTTGGATGGATGGATGTTTGTTAGAAGGTATCATCAGAACACCTTAACGAATCTCGCTGAAAATGGCATGGATGTAAAATATAGTCTGCAAGAATACATAGGCTACTAATTAACAGTTTTTTTAATTCCACACGAATCTGTTACAGGCTAAAAGTCTAACTTTTTACAAAGACTTATACATTGTGACCTTGAATTTTAAATCTGGTGCTACTTGTATTGTACAGGAACCAATAGAACAGCTGTCGGTGAAAGTTGAAGAATACAGCGAGATGAGAAAAGAGAAGTTGAACAGAGTACGATTGGTTGAAGCTGAGAAATTGAAGTTGGAACAGCCAATGAGAGAAGCTGTAGAACAAATGATATTGACCAATACGGTGCATCGGACGAGGAATATGTTGCTGCAGAAATATATGTAAGTCTTTTTGCCACTTTTGGTAATTTACTGACGAATTCGCTGCGGGTAATCACATAATTTATATGCTTTTATGCGACTTATTTTATAAAAATTAGCTGTACTTTTTCGTAATAATGTACTTATATTCTCATGGCTTGATTTTGAGGAATAAAGTTATTTCATTTATAGAAAACTAGCAGTCGCCCGCGACTCCGTTCGCCGGTGATTAAAAAAAAACATAATTTATTCCAATGAGTTCTTCTAGATTATGTTCTATATGTATGCTAAATTTTATCCAAGATCAGTTCAGCCGTCACGGAGATACCTTCACATAAACATCCATCCATCTAAACATTCGCATTTACTTTACAAGAAGTGAGGTCTAAATCTCTAAATCTACTTAAAAAAACAAGGACTTGAGAAAAACTTATTTTTTTATTTCTTCAAACTGTCATTGTTATTGAACTTTATATATTTTTTTATAACTAATTATTATTATCATCTTTTTCAGACATGAAACTAATAAAATAATTGAATCCAAGAATAAGGATCTGGATGAATTGAAAGAGAATTTGGCCGCTATAGATGGCAAGTTGATACAAGCGCAAAGTTTACTGAAGGAAAAGTCGGAAATCTATCAAACTGGCATGCAGTGAGTATCATTTATTCCAATTTGTTACCTAATGTTGTAAAAAAACGATACATATATTTTTTACAATGAAACACACAGTTACAAATAACTGTAACGATCCGTTTAGTTAGATCGGAACGGAAAGCAGAGCTAATTATTATCGCAAATAAAATTGAGCTTTACACAATTGAAATAAAGTTTAATTTTACTTTGCAAGTTTTTTTTATCAAGCAACAAGCGTAACACGTACAAAAGTAAAATTAAACCATATTTCAATTGGCTAAAGCTCATATTTGCGATAGCAATATGATCTCGTCGCCTCGGTCTGTGTGAATCCTTACTTCTCTCACCGTTGCTTTCTGAGAGCATAATTTCTGTATAAAACATATAGTCATCCCTATCATTATCTTTGGTAAAACAGAGATAATAATATGTTTTAAAGCGG